GAAATGAGCTCAAAATAAGAACAAGAACATATTCTGTGACAGTAAGTGTGTAATACATATTTCTGAAAGGCATGAATTAGGAAGACAGAAACAAAGGAGGATTCCTTGTGAAAGGGGACTCTCACCCATGGTGTTGGGTTCTCTCCTGGATGAAGAGCAGCTTTACTTACCCCTGCTATTTCTGGATCTGCTAACAAATTCATAAATTGTCACCTACTGGTTTCTCTTTCTGGTTAGAATTAGCTCAAATGACTCCCAGGTTCCTGAGTACTTATTATTGCATATCACATACAGTATCAAAGAAAGGATAAGTAAATTATCTGTAAAATAGCCTGTTTTTCTTGATGCTGAGATTCACAGACTTTGTAAAAGCAATTGCTCTGGTGTGTAAAATGTGGTTTCAAATAACAGAGAGATTATGCCCTAGTTTTATGTGGAGGATAGAATGCTTTTCATAATTTGATACCGACAGAATGAATAAAAATCCTACTCAGCTCTTCCTTTTTGCATTGTTATGTCTCTTTTAATTTAGATCCCCTTGGGTTGACCATAGCCAGTGGGAAAGAATTACAACATATAGAATGAGCAGCAGGATGCTGTGGAATATGCAAATCATTTGTGTAATATAGAGGGGAAATCGAATTACCTCTATTGATCATTCATCCGGCCTTTCTTCTCCCCAGTTTCGTTTCATATTGCGTTATGTTATTCGCATTGCTACGGCATTAGTGTCTCCTTTCAGAAGACATGTGGTTTGCTGATTGTTAGCAATCTTGACAGATACGGCTGAGGAGAGGAGACCTCAGAATGCAAGCAAAACTTCTCTACACAGTAGGGTGTCTGGTTCTCTCTAGTTCACCCATTTTTGCCGCAAAATGTCATTGGAATTGTAATAATGTATTTTTTAAAGATGTATTTATTTATTTATTTAAAAGATAGAGTTAGAGACAGAGGAGAGAGAGAGAGAGAAAGGTCTTCCATCTGCTGGTTCATTCCCCAGATGGCCGCAACTGTCAGAGCTGAGCCGATCTGAAGCCAGGAGCTTCTTCTGGGTTTCCCACATGGGTGCAGGGGCCCAAGGGCTTGGGCCATCTTCTACTGCTTTCCCAGGCCACAGCAGAGAGCTGGATTGGAAGAGGAGCAGCCAGATTTCAAACCAGCACCCATATGGGATGCTGGCACTGCGAGTGGCGGCTTTACCTGCTATGCCACAGCCACCAGCTCCGGAATTATAATACTTTAGATACAAGCTTTCTTGGTTTCAACTTTATGTTCGTTACATAAGCCAGAGGAGTGATTCTTTTTCTAGAGTGATAGCAAAGATGAATAATTTTATAGGGCCATGAAGTCTCTATTAAATGAATGATTATTGTTTAAAAATTAGCTGTTGGACTTATAAGAACTTCCAGGACCCGCAGGTAGGGAGGGGCTGTTCAGAGTTGGAAACAGAACTCTTGGCCTCAGTGTGCTAAGAGCACTGGGAGTGGGCAGAGACCACAAAGTTTTAAACATGATTGAACTTCTGATGCTTCCTATCTGAGATGGAGCTGCACCTGTTTTGGTTGACTCAGAAATATTATGTGAAATATATAAAACTCTGCTATCCATTCCTTTTCTCCAAGTAAACATGATGATGGGAAGACTGGGTGCTCTGGGAAATGAGAGGCTCAGGTTGTCCAGTAAGAGGCCCTGTGGTGCTAGGGAAGCCCTTTTTTCTCTCTGGCTCCTACCTTGTGTTTTGGATAACCTGGTTGGACTTGGGAGTTTAAACACAAGTACTATCAGAGGCCTGGGAAATGAGTATCAGATGGAAGGTGGAGATAAAGTCTGTGGCAATCAGAGTGCGTGTCAACCTGGCCTTGGGTTGTTACACCCTTGAACACACTTCAGCATTATCATCTCACAAAGAATTTATCTATGGTTCTGTTTGCTGCGTAGCAGCCAGTTTATCACTCTCAACATATGTGATGTAAACTCCTGCCTTTTTTGGGTCTCAAGTTGGTGATTCTACAAATGTATTTAAACAAAAAGAGGGCATGAAAGATCTGAATGAAATACCTTATAGTAAAGAAAAAATGAACAATGCAAATCTTGTGAGGATAAAAATTGACTAAGAACAAGAAAAGACAAGGGTGTTATAGTTAAATATAAATTGAGTGTGAATAGCTAGTGTGGGGAGTATTGCTTTGGGCAAAGGAAAAGGGCAACATAATCCTGAAATGTAGCAGCAGTTACACAGCAGCAGCGAGTCATCTTCCCGTGCAGTCAGCTTCAGTCTGACCTTCATTACAGGGGGAATCCAGGTGTGATCCATGACCCTTGAAAGGAATATGAAAAATTCAGAAGAGCCCAGTGCTTAAATAGTGGAACCTTGTTTCTTAGAGCAGAAGCTAAGAAAATTTGAATTGATCAGCCTGGGGAAGAGAAGAGAAGGATTTGGCTTATGCACTCTTCAGGAATAGGATCTATTTTCATGTTGAGGACATGAAGAAGTTTCTTCTCTATGAGTGACGATATTAACTGGAATCAGTAAGCATAAATGAAGGCAGTGGAGATGTCACTGGGTGTTAGGAATGGTCATTTCTTGCACAGGTGGGTGGTAAAACGCTGGAAGGATCTACTGAGGGGTTGAGATGTTTTGGTGCTGGGGATGATCAAGTAGAAAGGCAAGTGGCTGCACTGCGTGTCCCCGAGGGAAGGAAGGACTACTGAGCAGTACCTGTGGCATTCTTGATGCACATGAGCAGCATTATTTTCCCCATCAGTATCACCTTTGAGTTGCCTCCATTAACCATGGCAGGTGGATCTCACAGAACACTAGGGCAAAATGCACTTAAAATTGTTTATAAATTATTTGTTTTGAGAGAGAGGGAGGGAGGGAGAGAGAGAAAGAGAGAGAGATGAGAGATTGAGAGGAGCACACTACCAAATTCCAGTTAACTCCCCAAATGCCTATGACAGCTGGAGCTGGGCCAAGCCAAAACTGTGAGCTAGAAATTCTGTCCAGGTCTCCCACATGGGTGGCTGGAGTCTGCATTAGCAGGAAGCTGGAGTCAGGAACCAGAGGTGAGGACTTAAGCCTGGGCACTTTGATATGTGACATGGGTGTCTTAACTGGTAGGCAAAATGCCTGCAACCATAAAGACACTTCTGAAGTCTAGAAACAGAAAATTGAAAGCCACCGGAATTTAAAAGTCTTGTCTGTGCTATGCTTTCCTAGGACATAAGCTTATTTCCTATCTCTTGACTGCCTGCCCTGCCTGGTTTACCTGGCATACGGGCAACTCCACATTTAGTGCTCCTTACAGCAAGAAATCAAACTGTTGGACCATCTCCTAGCCCCAGTTCCAAATTCTGAGGACAGAGACTGTCTTGGGTCTCACTTTTTAAATTTTTTTAGCATTTACTTGAAAGGCAGAGTGACAGAGGCAGTAACAGGAAGAAAGAGAGGGAAAAAGATAGTCTGTCTGCTGGTTCACTCCCCAAATGGCTGCCACAGCAGGGGCTGGGCCAGACTGAAGCCAGGAGCCAAACACCCATCTGGGTTTTCAACATGGGTGGCAGGAACCCAGGAGCATGGGCTATTCTCTGATGTCTCCCAGGCACATTAGCAGAGACCTGGATCAGAAGAGAAGCAGCTCAGTGTCAAGCCAGCTCTGAGAAACAGAGCACAGCTATCCCAAGTGGTGGCTTAACTTGCTGTGCACACCACCAGCCCCTGTTGCCTTGCTTTGACCAAAGTTTTAAGTCAATCCAATATACTGTGTCTTGCGGTAAAGTGAGAGATACCTGGTTTAATAGTGGCAGAAAGTTATAACCAGCAAAGATGGTGTTATGGGCTTAATAGTGTCCCTCTAAAATCCCTGTGTTGAAGCATTACCACTTGGGGCCTCAGAATGTGACTGTATTTGAAGGCAGGGCCTTTGAAAACGTGGTTAGGTTAAAATAAGGCCATTAGGGCGGGGCTTAATTTAACCAAACTGACATCTTTATAAGAAGAGGAAATTTGGACACAGAGAAATCAGACATTCATCTACAACTAAGTAAAACTGTGTGAAGACACAGCAAGAGGGAGCCCTCCATGAGCTGGGGAGAGAACCGAGAAGAAACCAAAGCCACCAATATGTTTATCGTGGGTTTCCAGCTTCTAGCATGTGAGAAAATAAACTCTGGTACTTAAGCCATCCAATCTTTTCTGATGGCAGCTATAGAATCTAATACTGACGGTCACTGTAGCTCTTAGATTGATTATCGTGAGCTGAGCAGATACCGCAGTTAGAGTGACAATATGCTATTATCACTATAATCATGATCATTACCTCTCTCTGCAGTAGGTGATCATTAAACAGATACTTATGTAGCTGAGCTCCCCCTTGCTAGGTGTTTACAACTCAATCCCAGTCTTATGTTTTCCTAGGGCTGGAGCAGAGAATACAGCAGCTTAACCTCACACTTGGATCATTCTAAATGTTCTACTTTGTGTTTGGTTAGGGCAGAAATTTCAGGGAAGGACAGAGCTGCAGAGACTTGTGCTTTTGTAACCCTGGCCAAGGGATGGCAGAACCTACCAGGACCGCCTCTATTGCTCTCACCCAGCAACCCAATCACAGCGGGTCTTGTCTTTCTTGCTCTGCTTCTCCCACCTTTGCCTACCTCTAGTGCAGCTGTGCTCAGGGTGGAGTAAGTTTACATCCCACTTGATGCCAGTGATTGCCACTAGGACTGGCATTGCCCTGCAATGGCCTTTAACCAGCTCCTCCATGGATGTAGGGTGTAAGGGCTGAGTGACCTTCCCCTCAGCCTGGTTTGCTCACATTCCTTTTTCAATTCTCTGCTTGACTTGAACTGTGAGGTCTATTTGGGATTTTCTAGTAGTGCAGTGCTGACTGTTAACGTTAATGAATCTCATCTGCTACCTCCAGTGCCCTCAGGATTTCAGTCGTTGCAAAATGCCTGAAAACAGGAATGGACATGTTGGCTGCTATTTATGGAGGTAAGAGTTTTTTCCTCTTGAGGACTTTCTTGCTGTGTTGAGAGTGAACCTATTCAATTCCATAGTTTTTCTTTTTTTCTTTTAAGATTTTTTTATTTATTTGTAAGGTGGAGTTACAGAGAGGCAGAGAGAGAAGAGAGAGAGAGAGAGAGAGAGGCAGAGAGAGGGAGAGGGGGAGAGAGAGAGAGAGAGAGAGAGGTCTTCAACCCAATGATTCACTCCCCACATGGCTGCAATGGCCAGAGCTGGGCCCATCCAAAGCCAGGAGCCAGGAGTTTCTTTTTCTTTCTTTCTTTCTTTTTTTTTTTTTTTAAACATTTGATTTATTTATTTGAGAGAGAGAGTTACAGACAGTGAGGGGAAGAGGCAGAGAAAAAGGCCTTCCATCTGTTGGTTCACTCCCAAATGGTCGTAATGGCTGGAGCTGTGCTGATCCTAAGCCAGGAGCCAAGAGCTTCTTCCCAGACTTCCACTCAGGTGCAAGGGCCCAAAGACTTGGGCCATCCTCTACTGCTATCCCAGTCCATTACAGAGAGCTGGATTGGAAGAGGAGCAGCCAGGACTCGAACTGGCACCCATATAGAATGCCAGCGCCGCAGGCAGAGGATTAACCTACTGCGCTATGGCACTTGCCCCAAGGAGCCAGGAGTTTCTTCGAGGTCTCCCATGTGGCTGCAGGGGCTCAAGAGCTTGGGCTATCTTCTACAGCTTTCCCAGGTCATACCACAGAGCTGGATTGGAAGTAGAGCAGCCGGTTCTTGAACTGGTGCCCATATGGGATGCCAGCACTGCAGGCAGCGGCTTTACCTGCTACACCACAATGCTGGCCCCTTCCATAGTTATTCTTCACACATACCAGAACCACAGAAAATTCTCTACCCTCTGATCTCATCTGGACAGGTAATTCCTTTATTGTGAAATGACTAATGGCTCTCTATGACTTAAAGAATAAAGCTCTAGTTCCTCACTCAAAGGTTTCTAACCTGGTACCAGCTCACCCTCTGCCCTTATCCACAATCGCACACCAGCCTCAATGGTGTGTGTGCTGTTGCTGAGTCACTACTTCCCATGCCTTTGCTTGTCCAAGGTCCCCTTTCTTCTCACCATCTCTTTAAGTTCTGTCTTTGAAGTCCTAGATCAGAAATGAACTGCTTAGAAACTTGCCTGGTCTCCCAAATTGGAAAGAATCCTTTCTCCTTGAGTTACCCTCATGCATTCTTTGTAACACTGATAGAGCACTGGCCTTTCTCACAGGTGCATTATTGTCATTGAAGTGTTTACTTATGCATCCTCCTCTTAATTTTCTTTTGTCATATCCTTGCAACACCCAGTACTTTTAGATTAATAATTATTTATGGAACACTTACCATGTGCCAAATTTCATAATACTGTTTCCATTCATTGTTTTGTTTAATAGTTCATTTTTTAGATTATTCAAGTAAAACTTAGAGGTTGATTGACTTCCCAAGATTACAATTTGCCAATGGAGGAGGCAGAATTTGAACCCATATCTCTCTGACTTCAAAGTCCATGATTCTCACTGCCAGTCTAGAATGCTGCCTCTGGACACTTAATATATACATGATGAATTGATTTGGATTAAATAGTTTTTCCATTTTAAGAAGTGATGTACATTGAACTGAGCTCATGGAACAGCCTCCTGTCATGACTGCTGTTGCTGCAGCTGCAGCTGCCTGTAATTCTTAGCCTAGGAGATTGCCTATTAGGGGCACAGGGAGATTAAGAGCCCTAGAGAGTCATTAAGGATCGAGGTACATTGCTGATGTTGGCCAGCCATGCAGTAGCTGGACAAAGGTGATGTGTTGGACACATTTGCCATGTGAAGGAAAGAACAGCCGAGTGTTACCCAGCACATTCATCATGCTGACAGATGGTCTGCCTGCCTCAGGTTCTTCCACAGGCAACTCCCTTTCTCACAAGTTCATGTTGTGCACCTGCTAGTTTGAAGGGGCTTAGATGGGGAACCAGGGCACTCTTTTAATAGCTGGAAGAAAAGGTTAGGCTTTCCCAAATTTTAACTGCCTGTGCTGTGCATGCCTGGGACACTGACCCTTTTCTTCTTGTAGTTACGGTGCAACCCTGTCAGTGCATTTAAAATGTAAGCTTGCCTTCTGGTCCCACACTCAGAATGCTTCCTCGTTACAGCTTCACACATAGCGCTGAGAATGGCTGCCGCCAACCTGTCAGGTAAGCATTCATTCTGAGGAAATTTGCTGCCCCTTGGATTTATTTTTGTTGGCTCAGTGGGCAGATTCTAATTTGAGCCTGGCAAAATTTAGCCTACCCAGGGCTGGTGGGCAGGTGTTGAATTTAATGACTGGGCAGCTTGGTTGTTAGAGCATCCAGATCGTCCAGGCTGACATCACCTCAATAGGAAACTCAAGTTGTACTTGGTATAGATATGGAGATTCTGGAGCCCTCTCTCTCTCTCTCTCTCTCTCTCTCTCTCTCTCTCTCTCTCTCTGTGTGTGTGTGTGTGTGTGTCTGTCTCTGTCTCGCTTGGTGTGTGTGTGTGTGTGTGTATCTCCCTTTATGCCTTGAGCTGCTATATTCAACAGGCAAACTTATTCAGACACAAAGGTAGATAAATCTACATCCATCCTCAAATTGAGCAGAGTACGAGGAAGAAGTTTTTGATACAGAAAAAACAGACTGAAACAAAAAAGTCCGAGCATGACGCTTCTCCTTCCCCCGTGTTTGCTTTTTAATAGGGAAGCACGTTGAGCATCTACTCAGAGTAGAACTGTTTGCATATAGGTCTCTTTGAATCTTCCCGCTAGGCCTTTGAGGTAGATTTCTCAGTCCCTTCTTCACAGAAGACTGAGAGCCAGTCTCTACAGTGGCAGAGTCATACAGATGGTGGTGGGGTTGGGATCCACCACAGGCTCATCTGATTGTATGCTCACCTTGTCTGCTACTATGAATTGCCACATTTGTTTTTAAAGGGAAAGAGTTTATTGGGGGAAACCGGACAGACTGGAGGGAAGGAGCAAAGGAATAGAGGGAGAAGGAGAATGCAAGAGAGAGGGAGACACACAGAGAGAGACAGAGATCAGGAGAGAAAGAGAGAGGCGTGTGTTCAGGAACAGGTCTTTTTAAAATTTCTCCAAGGGCCAGGCAGGGAAGTAGGAGCAGCGAATCCCATTAGGATGGGGGTGGGACTGACAGGGCCATGTGGCTCCCTGGCTTCCAGCAATGGTGGCGGGGGCTAGAGCCTAGGATGGGCTCTAGGGTGTCAGGGTATAGATTGCGCCATACATAAGACTGCACCATTTTACTAACATTCTCCCTTTTTGTTTTTTATAATGCAGGAGTTGTATGAGATTACATTAGTCCCAAAAGTCCAGGAGGGGTAGAGGGACAGTGATCTCTCTTTAGAGCTACTTCCTGCAGATGGGGTGATGAGTACTCTTCGCTGGTATGGGTCGATGTCTCAAGCCACTGTCTCTTGAGTGGGAGCTGAGTATATCCCTGTAGCAGCACTTGGTTGACCACCTGTTTGCTGAAGGCCTTCGTTTGTTCCATTGTAACCTGCTGTAAACACTTAAACAGACACTGTAGTATAATAGACAGCGTGAGAATAGCAACCAGTGATCCTAAGAGTGGCATTAACCAGGTAATGAGAAGATTTCATAGAGGAGAGGAAATGAGGGGTGGGGGGTGTCTCTGGATCCTTGTGAAGACTGTTTAATGAATGTGGTTTAAATCTGATCCCAGTCAAGACCGGGGGAAAGGCCACTCAACTTTTGCTGGTAGAGGGGTTTGTCTATAGAGAAATTCTGAATAGTCATACAACATGAAGTGGAGTGGAGGACCATCAATGCACACAGGTTGGGAGTAGAGCCATTGATGTTAGAGTAGAGGCTATGATTACAATGGAATGAGGCCCCAAATGGGCTAGATAGGTTCTAGAACAAATGACAGAGTCATTACTAGAGGACCTGAGAAAGGTGCTATCTAAGCCACAACTAAGTTTTCTGATAGAGAGAATTGCCACATTTCTTACAGCACCTCACACTGCCTTCTCTCTGAAACAAACCAGTTAGTAATGAGAAGAGGTGAAATGTTAGAAGGAATCAATACTAGCCCGTTTATTGCTGTGTTTAATGGACAGCTCTCTGCCAAATTGCCCAAAGTATTTTGTACAGTCTTAGAATATCCACGCTTGAAACTCTTGATCAATATACCCTACAACTCCAAGAGGGTAGATATCTACCCAGAGTAACATCCTCTGGACAAAAGACCCAGAGCAGCCATATCTCATCCATGGTTTTTTCAGGGAGGAAAGATAATAGTGGTTCAAGGTCAAGCTAATTGCTTGTAAAACCCAGGGGGTACATTGTGAATTCACACATTTTTGGCATATTTTGAGTGAAGTCTTCATTGGTCGCTAATATCTGACTCTCCCAAGTCTTGTAGGGTTGAGAGATGGGCCAGGGCAATTTGCAGTCCTGGTAAGAGAGTCCTGAGACCAGACAAACTTCTGTTACTATATTGGACCAAAATATTTGTACTCAGTTCCCTAGAGGTCTGAATACAGATCGCATAATAGATCTCAAATGCATAACCTGGAATCTATGCATCTGCTTAGCCAGTGCTTAAAGCTGTAGATTAAATAACTCACACATTGGCCCTCAGTTCAAGAGACTCCCAATAAAATCCTAACAGCGTTACACAATTTTAGGATATAGCTGTTGAGATTTAAAGAGACACCATTATTTAGGGGAATTTATCTCCTTGGAACTTACTGAAGAACATGGAAACAGAAGAATGGTAGGAGGAGAGAGGAGGGCAGGAACATTTGTATGCAGTGCAATTCAATTTATTTTTGGTTCTGCATGGTGTCATTGTGTATATTTAAAACATAATATGTAAAATCTTTTTTGGTCTTTTATGAAATCTTTTCTTACTGCCTATAATGCTTTGTTTAAAGCAGAAACAAAGTTGTTTTTTTTAAACTCTTGGTGTCCTAAAGAGTAACCCTAGGTACTAAATTCTGGTTTATGACTTGCTTCTCCAATATACAGAGGAGTTCTGTAAACTTAGGGCCTGACTCATTGAGTTGGTTGTATTTGTTCCCCTTCTCACTTATGTGAATCTGAGGAGTAAATGCTCAAATGGTTGTTGAGAAATGAGAATCGCCCAAACTGCAATGCACTGACAGACCTCTGGGCTGCATTCCCGTCTTTCCACCTTTGCTTCTGTTTTGACCTCAAGCTCATTCCATTAGGCAATTCTGGGGAGTGATGAAGTACATTAGCAGCAGTGTCAAGGTGTGCTCTTCCTTACAAGAAGGCCTTGTTTATTTAAGTCTTATTTAATTATTTGAGGGGCAGAGAGTCAAAGAGAAATGGAGAGTAGGGGGGAGTAGGAGGGAACGCGCCAGAGGGAATGCGAGATTGTGTGCTCCATCTCTGATGGTTAGCTTCCCAGATGCTCACAACAGCTCGCTTAGGCCAGGCCAGTGCTGGGAGCTAGGAACTCATTCCAGGTCTCCCATGTGGATGGCAGTGACCCAGTTACTCAAGCCATTACCTGCTGCCTACCAGGTTCTGAACGGACAGGAAACTGGAATTGGGGAGGAGCTGAGACTGAAACTCAGGCACACTAATATGGGATGCAGGCATCACAGGCAGCGGCATAACCCCTTTCCCAAATGCCTGCCCCTTAGTCTTTTAAAAGAGTCATATAGGATATTTTCCACTGCCCATCCTTTGGAAGTTGATCTTTACCACTAAAGCCAGTCATGAGAATTCCATCTCCTTTGCTATCCAACAGTTATGTTATAGGTAGGCTAGACCAATTTGGTCTTCTAAGATTTGCCTGAAGCACTTGAGATGGCAGTCTTTCTGAGACTGAGTTTCACTAAAATAGAGACAATAATAGTATCTAACTCCCTCACTGTTATAAAGATTATGGTGGCCGGCGCCGCAGCTCAATAGGCTAATCCTCCACCTAGCGGTGCCGGCACACCGGGTTCTAGTCCCAGTCGGGGCACCGGATTCTGTCCAGGTTGCCCCTCTTCCAGGCCAGCTCTCTGCTGTGGCCCGGGAAGGCAGTGGAGGATGGCCCAAGTGCTTGGGCCCTGTACCTCATGGGGGACCAGGAGAAGCACCTGGCTCCTGGCTCCGGATCAGCGCCGGCTGCGGCGGCCATTGGAGGGTGAACCAACGGCAAATAGGAAGACCTTTCTGTCTGTCTGTCTCTCTCACTGTCCACTCTGCCTGTAAAAAAAAAAAAAAAGATTATGGAGTTATTACCTAGTAAACACTTGACACACAATAAGTCCTCAGCAAAATGTTTATTGTTCTTTAAAAGTTGCTTAACTTTTGCTCCAGAGATTCTACTTCTAGAAAGTATGATGAAGATATAATACATGTAAGGATAGGTAGATACACAAGGATACTTAGAAAAGCTTGAAATAAATGGAATTAAGAGATGTTTTGGTACAAAAGTGTTTTGAAATCCATGGATAGCTTTTTCATAATGTGTATTTCCCATGAACTTTTTCTATAGGTATAGATAGATGTAATCTCAGTATTACTTAAAATTGGTACCCTAATTATCCAAGAATATGGGAAATATTAACATTGAAGTATCTGCCACTGGAAATACTCTGAAGCTATTAAAATTATAGGTTGAATTTTATTTAGTCAAAAGGGAAGAGTTTATAATAGGTTATCTAATAAGGAGAAGGTTGTTTTCCAAAATAGAGATAGATACAACTACAAAATAAATATATATGATAATATAGAGTTAGCAGGATACCTACCAAAAATAGGAGAAAGATATTTCACAGAATCACAGCTTTAAAACTGTACACAAAAAACACAGTTGACTGTATTTTTAAATCAATAAATATTTAGATATTACAGAAGAAAATAAAATAATCTCTAATCTTGTTAAGAAACATTACTCAAAAGTTGGGAGAAAGAACTTAATGTTTTATTTTATTTTAAAGATTTATTTATTTATTTGAAAAGTCAGAGTTCCAGGGAAAGAGGGAGAGACACAGAGAGAGATCTACCATTCTCTAGTTTGCTCCCCAAATGGCAGAAATTGCCAGGGCTGGGTCAACAACAGTATCATAACCTATTTTCAGGATATGGAGAAGAGTTGGCAAAATGTGATTTTTGAATTCATGCTAAAAGTGAGCAGGGATATTTTGAGGTTTTTGTCTTATGTTTCTCTGATGTGATGAGAGATCAGTACAAAGAAAAAGGTAGAAATACCAAGTATTTTAAAATAAAATGCACACGAGCATTATTGGATCAGATTCATATTGCACCGATCTGCTGCTGGACATAAAAATTTCAATGTTTGCCAGTAGACATCTCTGGCAAGCATTGCCTATTAGCAGCATCTTGAACAACAGATGAGTGGTTTTACTGTGATGGTCTCTGGGCTCCGTTTCACAAAACTGCTGTAGACTGTCATCTGTGATCAGATGTGAAAATACTAACTCTATGGTAAGCTTTTGTCATCAGAGAGTAGATTAGGATTTTAAGGGCCAGCTCTACTTTTTGAAAAATTATGATAGCAGAAAGAGCTGATTCAGATTTATGTATGGTTTCATATCAACATAACAGCACCCATGCCATAGTTAAATTGTATTTGGAAACCAGGGAGTGATGCCTGCCTTGCTTAGGATTATGAAAATTTACCTGACAAAATTGGTAAGATTTACCCAATAAAATTGATCCATATGAGTCGTCAATCTAGAAGTCAGAACCTCCTAAAGTACTTCACTCTCAGTTGTAGTTTTGATGGTACTGGTGGTGTCAGTATCAAGAGGAGCAGTGACAATAGTAATATTTATTGAACTCCCAGGAACCAGGTATTGTCAATTATGTTTACAGCAAAAGGCTCTGAAACTAATATTTGGTATGTTTTATCTTATTTTGTCATTCTTTAAAATACAGTAACCCATTGAGATGGATGCCATTATTATGTTTGCATCCAGGCCAGAAACTGAGTTTTAAAGGAATCATTTAATTGAAGTCTATATGTTGGTGAATAGTGGCTTTGCTTTGGTCAACTACTGGGCAGTATTAGCTAAACTCTCATTTGCAAGAATCACGTGAAATTGTCTGAATAATTTGTTTCTTTTTCATTTCACCTGGAACAAAGGAGATTTTGGCAGTTAGTAGATTTATTAACCAATGGAGGAGATTAGTATGAATGGTATAGGCAGACCTCAGGTATTTGGGTGGCAGTAGAAGTACTTTGTTCTTGTTGTTTTCTGATTGTGAGACATGAGTTTTTTGGAACGTTGAGCAATGTGCAAGCAAGGTAACTGAGATGAGTAACTGTGTTGAGAGTAATAAAGTTTGGGAGAAAATCTCTCACACTGTGAGTTTTTAGGCTGTATCATCTTCTGTTGCTGGAGTCCACATGCCTGGTAAAGAACTATAGCATTGTGCAGTCTGCTCTGGCTCACCAGAGCTTGGTCAGGCAGCCCAGCAACAGAAATGTTAGTAAATTCTGTTAATAACTTTATTAACAGATCACAGATTCATCCAGGTCTTTGTGTATCATCCACAAGTGTCACATTAAGCACTTATTTTTTGTTTGTTTGTTTTAGGGGTGGGGTTGCAGACAGGAGGAGGAGGCAGGAAGGACTGAAGGGAAAAAGGGATGTCAGGACTGTGTGTGCAGGAGCTCTGCTGTGTTCTTCACTGTGCCGTGCAATGGTCCCTCCACACTGGCAGCTTCCATAATCATGGATTCAACCAACTTCAGATCAGAAGTATTGGGAAAAAATGGCCTCTGTAGTAGACATGGGTACAGTTGTTTCTCTTGTCATTTTCCAGCAGTGGGCTAAGGGAAAAACAAAAACAAAAACAACTCACAACTCTAGGTTTGTGCTCACCCCTTAGTCTGCCCTTCCTGCCCAGACCTCTGCTCTGGTAATGCCTCCATGGGGATCTGGGAGGAACTGCACAGTTCCAGGACAGCTGTGTGTGAAGACCACAGTGGTCTTTATGGCTAATGGAAAGAGCCAACTATGGTAATTTATTAGAGTAATTGTTATGCATTTGAGTTGTTTTCCTGGGATTCTGATTTCACTGGTATTGAATTAAAATTTTTTTTAAATTTTTAGGGTTTTTAAAAATTTTTTAAAATTTTGTTTGCTCTCCAAAGGCCTGCAATTGGCTAGGCTAGCACAGGGTCAGAGGCAGGAGTCAAGGATGCAATCCAGGTCTCCCACATGGGTGTCAAGAACCAATTACTCGTTATTACCATTGCCTCCCAGGTTCTGTATGGGCAGAAAGTGGAAATCATGAACTGGAGCCAAGAACTCAACCCAGGTTCTCCAGTCTGGAACTGTGAGTTAAGTGCCCACTCCCATCCACAGGTATTTTAATGGCATAAGCGTCTCTGTTCTTTGAGTGCTGTGATGGGAAGACGCATATTTCCTGAAGGCCAGCACACTGCCTCTAACATCATCCAGTGGACTTTGGAGCATCGAGTCTCATCTAAATATCCTCTCCTGAGTCTTTTTTTCCAAGAAATGCCACTGTGAACAAGCCCAACTGTGTGTAAACACCAAATCCATTATGGTTCCCTACTGTTTCTCCTTTAGAAATTATTTTCTAGTGCACTCTGAACATTTTTATTAATGCTAAAGAGGCTTTTCTTTTTTTTTTCACTTGTTTCCAAATATAATTATCTTTATTTCTGCCAAGTATAAGATATACTACTTGTTATGAAAGTTCAGATAATGGAGAAGTATATAAAGTAGAAATTGAAGTTCCATGCAGTTTTATCCTAAATATAATGATGATGATAATAAAAACCAGAATAATATATTTATTAAGTGTCATTGCCAGTGCATTAGCACATTCATTTCTCACAATAGTTCTGTGAGACAGCTACTTTATTTGTCAGTTTAGTACGTGAGAGGACTGAGTGATTCCTGGTTGTGTGGCCTGCACGATTCCCTACAGGTAGTAAACAGAGAGGTTGTACCTTAATTACTGTATTAAAATGAATGCTCTATGCCTCAATGATTCTTTCTTACTAGATCAAGACTGATCACTTGGAGCAGTATTCAGAAAGTGAAAGGTGAACTATGTGTAGCATATGATTTTATCTTAAATTAAACCGTACAGCCAAAAATTTCTTTTTCAAACATTTTTACGTATTTAGCTCTTGTTTGCTGGTTCACTCCCCAAATACCCACAAGGGCCTGGGTTGGACTGAAGCTGGAACTTAACCTAGTTCTTCCACATGGGTCTCAGGAGTGCAGTCACTTGAGCCATCACTGCCACCACCCCTCAGGATCCGCATTAGCAGAAAGCTGGAGTCAGGAACCTGAGCTAGGAATAGTACACAGGTGCTCCAATATGGGATGTGTGTATCTTAACTGGCATCCAACTCTAAGATGCCTACCCCACATTAATGTCTTAACTATTAATGTAGTACTGAAATACACCTGTAATGATTTTTTTTAAAGCTGTATTTATTTATTTGAAAGGCAAAGTTACAGAGAGGCAGAGGCAGAGAGAGAAGAGAGGTCTTCCATCCACTGATTCATTTGCCAGATGGCCGCAAATGCTGGAGTTGAGCTGATCTGAAGCTGGGAGCCAGGAGATTCTTCCAGGTCTCCCACGTGGGTGCAGGGGCCCAAGGACTTGGGCTATCTTTTACTGCTTTCCCAGACACAGCAGAGAGCTGGATTGGAAGTGGAGTAGCCAGGACTGAAAGCAGTGCCTGTATGGGATGTGGGCACTGCAAGCAGCAGCTTTACCCACTACGCCATTGTGGCAGCCCTATAATACGATTTTCAATTGTACTAACTTTATGGGGGTGGGTAAGGAAATTGTTCAGAGACTTATCCAATTAAAAAAAAAATCCTTCTTAGATTTTTTTCCAAACTAATATAATTTTCGTAGAAACAAGTCTTGCTTTTTCTTATATTTTATTAGTTTCTGTATTTTTAAAAGAATGTAGGTCATTATAGCAACAGAGACAAAATGGTTTTAACCATTTGGTAATGAAACTCACTGATTCTTGGTAAGTAAAAAATATACAACTGATAAGGTCAGAGCACAGTGGGTGAGAGCGAAAGTGCTTGGGGCTCACCAGCTCTTGGACCTACTGTAGGGGTCAACATGGACTTCTTCCACAAGGAGATAGACCTGTAGGTGAATTGGTTGAGTCAGGATCTGTTAAGAGGACTTCTGCCTTCTGGGTACAGTGGAATTACCAAAACTACTGAGAGGCACCCGGAAAATTACTCCCCAAAGGAAGTCTGATTTTTTCTTTCCACATTCCATCTGTGCAAGGATGTGTGCTTGCCAATGCCTATTCACCTGCTTCCTCTATTCCGCCAGTTTTTGCCGTCTGTGTATGTAGCTTCATTCACTTCTGTGGTCTCAGTTTTGACAACTGAGTCCTCAAAACATCAGCACCCAGTGGTGCAGTGAACTCCCCAGAATTTTGAAGTTGCTCATGCAATACTAGGAAAATGAAACAGTTAAGCAAAAACTGCTTTCTAGGGGCCATCTAGCCTAAGAATTGCTTGTGAGGGAAAGTGATGTTATCTTTGCTGGTTTTGAGCAATCATGGTGTTTCTCAGTGTGGTCTGTGGACCACCTGCTATCAGGAACCACTTTGACTACTTGTTAAAGTACAGATTTCTGGGTCCTAGACCCCTGTGAAGTGGATCCTGGGTATCCACAATGGAGGCAGAGTAAAGCATGAGGATTGTTGGTCACCTGTAGAGAGCCCAAAATTATTAAGACAATCTGTAAGGCCCTACGAAGACTGTCCCTGCCCCACTATTTAGCCAAATAGACAACAGGTCATACTTGTTGTTTCTGGAGTCAGTTCTCCTGCCCTCATTGCTTCTTCTTGGAATGCACACCCTCACATTTTCCTTCCATGTCCTACTGAGAAAATCCTTACGATCCTGACTAGTGTCCTCTTCCCTTTGATCCCTCCTGGGGTGCTGTTCTCTAGAGCAGCGCTGGGCCATTCCTTCACTGTGACTTCACTGCCACAGAACTCCCTCCCCTCACACTGTACATGGCTTTTATGTTGAGGACCCATCAACAGACTGCCAGTGACTCTTACCTGTGTGTTGCTCTCACTGCACTAGGAAATCCATGAGAGTGGAGAGGGAGTTCTGTTCGTCTGAGTTTCCCCAGAGTCTTTGGCAATGCTTGGCAAACAATAATGCCCAACAAATATTTGCTGAATGGCTGAACAAATAATCTGGGGGAAACATGCCTTCCGTTCAGCCCCCCACCGTGCTGAGGCTGCAGGTGTTATAAGCCTGGTGGATGCTCTCTTGCTGTGATGCATTCCCGCAGTTGCCTTTCAGTCCCTGGCGGGGAAGGTGGGAAAGAGGAGGCTTCTTGCCCTGGCCATCTTTGCAAATCTCTTTGTAGCCTTGAAAGAGGGATCAAAGGCACAGCCCTGAGTGGCCTGCTCAAGCCTTTGTTCCTTTCTCTTTTGCAGCTAGGGACACAAAGAGGAGGATTTTATGAATCTCTAACCACAGACTTTGATCTAACGGTGTTGATGTGGATGGTGTGTTGTTCATTGTATGTTGCCACTGACAGTGCGGAATAATGCCGTGAGAGAACATCTGTGTGGCAGCCAGGTGATGCTGAGGAGATGTATAGTCCATTTCCTTAGGCATAATGATAGTATGTGGTCATAATGTGATTCTTGGGGTACCAGGGAAAGTGTACTTTGCTACAATAGGGTAATTGCATTACTTTGCCACTTTCGGATTCATGAAACAGAAGCCTGAGCTCTCCCATCAGATTTGAGTCCTGATCGCATTGGAACTCTTTCCCTGAGCTCACCTTTCTCTCAGACGCAGCATCTCACTGCTCTGCAGGCCACAGGACCCTGAATCCTTCATAGAGAGGCTGAGGCCTGACCTGGGTGGCTTCAGGATTACCTGCAGAGAAAGAAGTTTTAGAGGACAGAGTTTGTCTTATTTCCCCTACTGGAATGCTCTGTAACATGAGCTGTGCCAAACACCTATGATTTGAGGCAGTTCACAGTTGAGCATTTATTCATTTTAATTATTATTTGTTTATTAAGAAAATAAAACATCTGAAACCTGTCATCCCATAGATTTGATGTTCAGAAGGAGGTCAAAGTAGGAATTCAGATTTAGAAGTGAGACAGTTGAAAGAAAACTTTAAGCAGATAGTACTGTTATGTGAGGGAATAGCTAACATAATGAAGATAATACACTATTTACTAAGTATAGGAGGTACTATGATACAGCATAGTTCTTGATACATAGTAAGTGCTTAGCAGATATTTATTGGAATGAATGAAATAATAAAAATAGTAATGGTAACCAAAATTCATTGTATGCTTGTTTTGTGTGGTTAATATTCAAGATGTTCTGCAACATTCTACTGGAATCTGACTTGCAGTAGTGCCATTTTATCTTCTAATAAGATGAACTTGGGCAGAAATAACACTTGGGCGGGGTCACACCACTAGTGATGTGATCTGCTCTCTGTTGCCAGACCCCCTGGCCCCACTGTCCTTTTAAGCATACCTAGATGTTGAAAGTTACAATGGAGATTTTTTTAAAAGTTTTATTTATTTATTTGATAGTAAGAGTTACACAGAGAAAGGAGAGGCAGAGAGAGAGAGATGTCTTTCATCCACTGGTTCACACCCCAATTGGCCACAATGGCTGGAGCTACACCCCAAAGCCAGGAGCCAGGAGCCAGGAGCTTCTTCTGAGTCTCCCACATGAGTGCAGCTGTCCAAGGACTTGGGCCATCTTTACTGCTTTCACAGGCCACAGCAGAGAGCATGGGTATGGGTACCTCCACACAGAAGTGGAGCAGACGGGTCTCAAACTGGTGCCCATGTGGGATGCTGGCGCTTCACCAGGGCATTAACCTGCTGTGTCACAGCGCTGGTCCCACAATGGAGTTTTTATTCCAGGTCCACCTGGGTGCCCTAGGGTGTTAAATGTATTCTGACATATGAAGCCTTAGCTCAGTTAGCCTTACTTTGATGACTATCTTGCTAATAAGGTACATTCAGTAAGTTGTATTAGAGGTTGCCTAACCTGCATTTTGTGGAGTCTTACAAATCATACATGTTTTGGGTCCTTCTTTTATCCACTCATTCAAAGTCTTCTTTAATTTCATCCCCAGTGTCTTGAGAATATTATGTCATGCATGATGAAAAGATTTCCAGAAACCTTGTAATATGCTCACCCAAACAATACTTGATCACAAACAAGTCTAATAGTAGTAACGATGGAAACTCTGCCCTGGACAGCTCTGGTGCTTTTTCGGTCAAGATACGAATGTTGCCGGCGCCATGGCTCACTAGGCTAATCCTCCGCCTTGCGGCGCCGGCACACCAGGTTCTAGTCCCGGTTGGGGCGCCGGATTCTGTCCCGGTTGCCCCTCTTCCAGGCCAGCTCTCTGCTGTGGCCCGGGAAGGCAGTGGAGGATGGCCCACGTGCTTGGGCCCTGCGCCCGCAGGGAGACCAGGATAAGTACCTGGTTCCTGCCATCGGATCAGCGCGGTGCGCTGGCCGCAGCGCGCCAGCCGTGGCGGCCATTGGAGGGTGAACCAACGGCAAAGGGAAGACCTTTCTCTCTGTCTCTCTCTCTCTCTCTCACTATCCACTCTGCCTGTCAAAAAAAATTTTTTTTTCTCCTTTTGTTCAGGCAGCTAGATAGTTATTAGCCTATGTTTGTAAGAGGGGGCTGAAGAAAATGGGAATTTTCAAGGAAAATGAGAAAAAATTGTGAATTGGGAATTTTTAAAGAAATTAATTTTTGCAAAATGCAACAAGGAAACAAGCCCTGAAAGCAAAGCAGCAGTTAGATCTAAAGTCACTGCTTTGTGTAGTAAGCTTCTTAGATGGGTTCAGCCCCCTTCCTGGGGGCAGCTCAGGAAATGCCCCTGCCCTGCACCAAGGGGGTAGTAGGTCTGATAATGCTGTGCTGATAAGGTCCTGGGAGGATTTTCGGGAACTCCACATCCAGAAATCTCCCACCCACAATTTCCCAGAAGAGGGAGGAGGGGAGAAGAAACGAGGTACCCATACCCATGCCACACAAACTCCAATCTGAACGCAGATTGGGCTCTTGGTGCTCATTGAGAGGGCCTCCTAGTCTCTCAGGTATGCTCTTCATTGTTTCTTTCCATTCATCGTCCATGAGACAAAGAACTTGCAGGGCTAGGAACAACCACCTACTCCTGCTGCACTGTCATGTGCAGCCAGAATTTTCCTAGGCACTTCTAACATTCATATCTTTTTTTTTTTTTTTTTTTTACAGGCAGAGTGGACAGTGAGAGAGAGAGACAGAGAGAAAGGTCTTCCTTTTGCCGTTGGTTCACCCTCCAATGGCCGCCACGGCTGGCGCGCTGCGGCCAGCACACCGCGCTGATCCGATGGCAGGAACCAGGTACTTATCCTGGTCTCCCATGGGGTGCAGGGCCCAAGCACGTGGGCCATCCTCCACTGTCTTCCCGGGCCACAGCAGAGAGCTGGCCTGGAAGAGGGGCAACTGGGAAAGAATCCGGCGCCCCAACCGGGACTAGAACCTGGTGTGCCGGCGCCACTAGGTGGAGGATTAGCCTATTAAGCCACGGCGCCAGCCAAAAGAAGAAAATTTTATTTTATTTTTATTTAAAAAATATTTATTTTAAAGACTGAGTTACAGAGAGAGAGAGAGAGGGAGGGAGGGAGGGAGAGGGAGACAGAGAGATCTTCCATGTGCTGTTTCACCCCCCCCCCCCAATGGCTGCAATGACCAGGGCTGGTCCTGACTGAAGCCAGGAACCTGGAACTCCATCTGGGTCTCCCACATGGGTGCAGGAGCCCGGGCACTTGAGCAATCTTTTGCTGCTTGCCCAGGAGCATTAGCAGGGAACTAGATCAGAAGTGGAGCAGCCAGGAGTTCAACTGGTTCTCAACTGGGGAGCTGGCATTATAGGTGGCAGCTTAACCTGCTGTGCCACAACACTGGCCCCTGGGAGAGAATTTTAATATGTGAATAATATACTCTTCTATGTTAATAATTTTATATAGCAATATATAGATACTAAACTTGATATTTATGCTTCACTTGTATTTCCAAGAAGTTATAGATTTTTTATTAAAGATTTTTTTTAATCTATTTGAAAGTCAGAGTTACACAGAGAGGCGGGGGGAGAGAGAGAGAGAGAAGGAGGGAGGGAGGGAGGTCTTGCATCTTCTGGTTCACTTCCCAATTAGCTGCAATGGCTGGAACTGGGCCGATCCAAAGCCAGGAACCAGGAGCCAGGAGCTTCTTCCAGGTCTCCCACGTGGGTGCAGGGGTCCAAAGACTTGGGCCATCCTCAACTGCTTTCCCAGTTCATAGCAGAGAGCTGGATCGGAAGTGGAGCAGCCAGAACTCGAATTGGCACCCATATAGGATGCTGGCACTGCAGATGGTGGGTTTATCTGCTACACCACAGTGCCGACCCCAGAATTAAATATTTAAGTTGTCCCCAAACCCCTCCTCCTCTTTGCTTGATATTGACAGTGTTGTTCTGTGCCAGGAATGATGGTTATTAGCCATGAGGGTAGGAATGGGTTGACTATTGATTACATCTCAGAAACTGATAAGTAAAATCTCGCAGCAATCTCAAAAGCCTTTCTAAGATCTTTGGGGAATCTCAGGATAGCAGTAGCTTTCATTTCTCACAATTGTAATCTTTAAAATTTGACACTGTGTGCTTCTCTAAGAGGTGTCTTTGAAAGGAAAGGTCTCCCATCCAAGTACTAACCAGGCCCGACCCTGCTTAGCTTCCAAGATCAGATGAGATCGGGCACGTTTGGAGCACATAAACAAGACTAGTGTCTGCAAATACTAGCTGACAGAATAAAAAAGGGAGAGAACGATCCAACATGGGAAGCGAGATACACAGCAGACCCATAGAGTGGCAGATGTCCTAAACAGCACTCTGGCCTCAGAATCAGCCCTTAAGGCATTAGGAACCGGCTGAAAAGCCCATGAGAGTATTTCAGGCATGGAAAGCCAAAACACTCTGGCAAAACAACAACAACAACAACAACAACAACAAAAGCAAAACAAAAAAACAAAACCTGAATGAAAGATCTCCGCGAGTGAGATCCCAGTGGAAAGAACAGGTCATCAAAGAAGGAGGTACCTTTCTCTGAAGGGAGAAGAGAACTTCCACTTTGACTACAACCTTGTCTAAATATGATCAGAGTCGGTGAACTCAAAAGGCTTCCGTAGCCTTGGCAACTACATGACAAGAGCCTAGGGTGATTACTGATGCCATAAACAAGAGTGTCAATTTGTTAAGTCAACAACAGGAGTCACTGTGCACTTACTCCTCATGTAGGATCTCTGTCCTTAATGTGCTGTACATTGTGATTTAATGCTATAACTAGTACTCAAACAGGATTTTTCACTTTGTGTTTCTATGTGGGTTCAAACTGTTGAAATCTTTACTTAATGTATACTAAACTGATCTTCTGTATATAAAGAGAATTGAAAATGAATCTTGATGTGAATGGAAGGGGAGAGGGAGCGGGAAAGGGGAGGGTTGCGGGTAGGAGGGAAGTTGTGTGGGGGGAAGCCATTGTAATCCATAAGCTGTACTTAGGAAATTTATATTCATTAAATAAATGTTAAAAAAAAAAAAAAAGAAAGGAAAGGCCACCACAAAGCACAGCACACACCGGAGTAAGGGGAAAGGTTTATTGTAGGGTGGGGGAACCTGACAGACTGCTTCCCCATGCAGAGAGAGAACAGCAGCCTGTACTGGGAAAACAGGTCTTCTACAGCTTTGCAGAGGGAAGGACGTGGGAGCAGCCCATCCCGTGGAGCTGACGCTTGTGATTGGGCCATTTGGTCACCTGACTTCTAGTAAGCCAGGCTGGGCTTAGAATGAAGCCACAGCATCTCCATGGGAGACCTGGGAGGATAGATTTCCGAAGCTCCTCAGGTGATTTTTTTTTTTTTTTTTGACAGGCAGAGTGGACAGTGATAGAGAGAGAGAGACAGAGAGAAAGGTCTTCCTTTACCGTTGGGTCACCCTCCAATGGCGGCCGCGGCCGGTGTGCTGTGGCCGGCACACCACGCTGATCCGAAGCCAGGAGCCAGGTGTTTCTCCTGGTCTCCCATGGGGTGCAGGGCCCAAGCACTTGGGCCATCCTCCACTGCCTTCCTGGGCCACAGCAGAGAGCTGGCCTGGAAGAGGAGCAACCGGGACAGAATCTGGCACCCCGAACGGGACTAGAACCCGGGGTGCCGACACTGCAGGTGGAGGATTAGTCTATTGAGCCTTGGCGCCAGCCCTCAGGTGATTCTTATGCAGATTGGAGTTTGGTAATAACCCTAATCTCCACACAGTACATAGAAATTGAAGCCCGGTGCAGTGGAGTGACTTATCACTGATAAACTCAGCCGTGAATAACAAACCTCCTGCTTGGCTCTTCAGAACTACCTAGGTGAGCTGCAATTTCTTAATCCACTTGACATGCATCTTTCTGCCTCAGCTGTGTAGTTATGTAACTTAATTACTTCTTAGTTTGATTTGACGGCCTTATTCTATTAGATAAGATGTGTTAATTACTGGGACAGCAATATGTGTTACATTAATAATTTCAAGATCATGAATAATATGCAACACCTCTGTGTCTGAGCCATTATTAATTTGTTTCACCAGAGCTGAAATGTTTAAAATTCAGTTTCAAGCGTGTCTTCTCAGAGGAAAAAAGAATAATACATGTATTGAAATATCTTCCCTTTCTTCTGTTCTTCCTTCTGTCCTTGCTATTGCAAGAGCTGCATATTGTGCCTAATTAGTGAGGTAAAAATCCAATTTGATTTTATTTTTCAAAAATGCAGGTAAATCAGGACAAATTATTTGCTGATAAAGAAGGGAAAAGAATAGAAGCAATATAAATTTTGTGCAGTTGGTTCATTTATAATGTATCTCAAGGGATAGGAATAATTCTATAAGCAGAAATTTTTAATGACCCGACTTTTGAGTAGACTTACACACACACACACACACACACACACACACGTATATCTGTTTGCTTCCTCTCTGACAAGATAGTTAAGCTGTGATAGTTCTATGTGGGAACCACCTTCAATGTCTGTGGTAGGACAGACAAGCCAGGATTGGCCAATGCGCATAGTCTGTCCTGGAAATTGAGATCAGCTTTAGGATGCGTGTGATATAAACTGGCCCACTGGGAGTAATCCTAGGACTTTCTAGAAAACATGGAGAAATATATGACGACAACAAGGGTAATATCTTTTTAGCATGAATAACACTCATTTTACTGCTATGAAAGGAAAGTGCACTATCCCAGAAAAAACAGCAGGGCTGAGATGGGGTGTGAGACAAACTCCCAATGACAAAATTTAGGATCCTGAATCCAGCCATGCTTAAAAGTTACCTACTGTCTGAAGCACTACGAAGTCAAAATATTCTTTCCTTCCTTCCTTACTTCCTTCCGTCCGTCCTTGTAGGTGGACTTCTATAACTTTTAGTTGTAACAAAAAGACATTAAAAATGGAAAGTCTTCCAAACTTATGGACTTCCATGGGTGGAAATGGATTTACAATCTCTCGAGTATCCACTGTGACCAGTAGCTGTTCAAGAGTTACAGGCAGGATGATCATACCATATATCATCCAAACCAGAGCACTTTCACCCCTTACCCTTCATTATGAAGACTTTTTTATAAATTTACCTAAACAAAAGCAAATGGAATAGTGTAATAGACTCTTAGGGACCTGTTACCAAACTCCAGCAAACATTGCTGCAATGGGTAGTCCTGCCTCATTCATATCCCATCAACTCCTCCCTCCCTAAGTGTTATTTTTAAAATTGGTTTAAAGATTTACTTCATTTATTTGAAAAGCACAGTGACAGAGAGGGAGAGGGAGAAATACAGACAGAGATTGTCCATTCTCTGGTTCGTTCCCCAGATGGCTGCAACGGCCATGGCTACGTCAGACCTAAGCTAGGAGCTAAAATTCCATTTGGACCTCACTCATGGGTGGCAGGGGCCCAAGCACTTGGGCCATCCTCAGTTGCTTTTCTACACACATTAGCTGGGAGGTAGATCAGAAGCAGAGCAGCCAGCCTCCAACTCATGCTCTGATGTGGGACACAACCTCTTGTGCCGCAGTGCCAGCCTCCTTGCCTGACTCCCCTTCCCTCTGCCACTCAGTGTTATTTTTTCTGTTTTTTTTTTTTTTAAATAGAAACTTTAATAAATATGAATTTCAAAAGTACAACTTTTGGATTATAGAGGTTCTTCCCCATATACCCACCTTCCCACCGCAAACCATCTCATTTCCTACTTCCTCTCCTATCCCATCCTATTCATTAAGATTAATTTTTAATTATCTTTATATACAGAAGATCAATTATATACTGAGTAAAGATTTCAACAGTTTGCACCCATACAGACATACAAAGTATAAAGTACTGTTTGAAGATTAATTTTACCATTAATTCTCATAGTACAACATATTAAAGACAGAGGTCCTACATGGGGAGCAAGTGCATAGTGACTCCTGTTGTTGATTTAACAATTGACACTCTTACTTATGATGTCAGAAATCACCCGAGGCTCTTGTCATGAGCTGCCAAAGCTATGGAAGCCTCTTGAGTTCACAAACTCTGAGGTTATTTAGACAAGGCCATAATCAAAGTGGAAGTTCTGTCCTCCCTTCAGAGAAAGGTACCTCCTTCTTTGATGGCCCCTTCTTTCCACCGAGATCTCACTCACAGAGATCTTTCATTTAGGTCATTTTTTGCCACAGTGTCTTGGCTTTTTATGCCTGAGATCACTCAGTGTTATTTTAAAGTGAAATTCAGACATCATTTCATTGGTATCAATTTTAGAGAAAAAGAAGAGATTATTATAATAGGATGGCAAACAATCTGTCCCAGAGAGACTGAGATTAATAGTATGAAAATGATGGAAAAGAAATGTCTCATTCCATACCCTCAATACTATTTTTTAATCAACTGAGGCAGTAGACTAACTGGGTTGCTAAAAAGCTTTGAGCCTTTTTTCTTTTCTTGCATCCAATTTTGGTTTTATGAGGCTACTCCAAAAATTTCATGAAAGAATGGAATTAAAAGATGTTTGTTTTGATGTGAAACATTTTTGAAATTCATGCATTTTTGTTTGATAATACATATTTTCCATGAACTTTTCGAAGAACCTTCACGTGCCTATTCTACGGAATACCATGTTAGCCTGTGTCTTCCAAGAAACTGATGCCCACACCAGATAAAGCCTGTGAAAATTTCGTTAGGGAAATTCATCATGAAAGTAAACTGACAGGGAGACAGGAAAGGTATGGAGAACACTTAGACCATTGTGCACATCTGATCACGGGAAGGAGAGCAGAAGGAAAGGGGGAAGAAGTGTCCAAGGTTTTTGCAAGTCCTTAAAGAAGTTCTTGAGCTGAAATCGAGTATGAGTGGAATCATAGGTCTCCTGGGAATTAGCTGACTTGCGTGTCCTGGGCTGGGAGCTGTCCATGGGAAGTGTGGCCTTGTCGTACACACATACAGATATAGAGTCACAGTGCAGCAGCTGAGCCTTGGTCAGCTCTGCGCCTTGGTCAGCTCTGCGCCTTGTGATTGGAGATCTGTGAGGCATCTTCACAGACACCGTACTTACCAAGACCTTGCTCTGAATACTGTCAGCATAGTGTAGCATAGTCACTGAAAGTATGGACTTGGGAATTAGAGCATCTCTGTTAATATCTTAGCTCTGCTGCTCAGCTGTAGACTGTGCCTTATACAGGAACCGTGAGTCACAAAGCCTTCCCTCATGGTTGTAGTGAGGATTAAATGATGCAGACTTAGCAGGTGTCTAGCTCGTATCAAGTGCCTAATGGTGGCTGGTGATGATGGTGGTGGTGGTGGTCACAGGCATGAAGACTTTGTGAATAAGCTGGTTTATAGTCCATATATCATAGGTCCATATTTTTATTTTATTTTATTTTTTAATTTCTTTTAATTTTCCAAAAGAAACCTTTTATTTAAGGAATACAAACTTCATTCATTCCATAGTACAACTTTAGGAATACAGTCATTCTTCCCACCATACCCACACTCCCACCCCTTTACCATCTCCCACCCTCTACCTCCTCCATCTCCCATTCCCAGTCCCATTTTCCACTAAGATCCATTTTCAGTTACTTCATACACAGAAGAATAGGTCCATATTTTTAGAAACTGTGTCTAAACAATGGAACTGAAACGACTCATCTGATAGCTCTACAAAGTTTTGGCTCAGCTTTTCATGTCTGTATCATTTCCTTTTGGGATCCCAAAACCACATTTCTCTATCCTACTCCTGAGCATTCACTCTCTGCATTCCCTGTCTGGATTATTCTTCACCGCCCTTCCTGTATCTAGTTTCTTCCTATTCATCCTTCCGGTTTCACTTTAAGGATAATTCAATGAGGAAAGACTTCTCTGATCTGACAGCCTGGAAAAGCTTCTAAAATGTAGCCCCAATAATTGAACTCCTAGTACAGCACTCCTTTTATAGCTAGGACTTCCATTAGTGTACAATTATACATTTATTCATATAAATATTTAATCAGGGCTTTCTTTCCCACATGAGAACAGTGATCATGTCTGATTTTGCTTACCATTTTAAATCCATTGCTTAGCACAGTACTGATGCAGAAGAGATGTGATAATATTGGCTGATTGCATGATTAAAGTGCATGTGTTCCTCAGAGGTACTGAGGTCTTTGTTAATTAATTCTGTGCAGCCCATTCGTTGGAGGGTGACTCAGAAACTAACTTGTCCATGTATTACCTTAAAAAAGAGGAGGTGTCTTACTAGTTCTCTGAACAGAGGGCTCCACATCCTATTTTAGCATGACCAGAGAACTGAGTTTAGTATCAGGACAGTCTTTGCGTCAGCAGCCTTGAGGGAAGATGACAGGCCAAAGATGGAAACATTGTCATGAATGGTTGGAAATTCCATTTATTCATGCATTTTCTCTACCCATGGTGAGCTGTTCTCCCAGGGGTTCTCAGAAGTTAATATTTGACAAATATTTGGGCAGCTTTTTAAATATGAGCATCTACAGGCCTCTCTGCCAAGAGATTCTGATTTTGTAGATACATGGTAAGGTGCCTGAATTTGGATGTTTCCAAAATGGCCCAAGGGATTCCGAGGGTCTCATGCATTTAGGAGTCATTGTTCCACCTCCCATTGATGATTCAGGACAACCAAGCATAATGTGTCTAGGACTAGAACTTGGTAAATTCTTGTCTACACTGCTGACTCATATTAGGCCCATATGAGGAGTAGTTAGCCATGGCTCTCTATTTTACTCTTTGCTACTACCAGTGTAAAAAGAGTAGAAGAACTTCATATAAATAACACATTTCACATTATTAAGCATACTGGGGGTCGGGTGAGATGGGGTGGATGAGGTATGTGTATAATATAGGTTTTAAAATAAGGAGTATGGATGACTTTTATTTGATCATGAATTAAAATCTACTATCTAAAAAATGAAGGCCTAATCTCTATTCATTAAAATTTGTAGCACTTGACTGCATCAGTACTCAATGATATAAATTGGTAATAAAGATTAACATAGAAATTTATTGTACCTAACATCAAGAATAACATCTGTTATAATCAAGGCCAGTTTAGACAATACTGATGTATTTTCCTAATACATAGTAAGCTTGCTAAAGGCAGAGACAGCAATACTGTTGTTTACTGGAGTGTCACCAGCACTTGGCACCATAGCTGGTTCTTAGGAAGTGCTCAGTGAGTATTTTGGCACAATGACATCATAGTGTTTCACTTTAAAATTCTGGCTTTGAAGTTGTGGCAGTTGCAGTTCTCTGGAGGTGCACATGTGCAACAAGAGCTTTGCAGGTTGCAATGTGATTTGCAGACCAAAGCTGCTTGAATGCCAAGACTGGGTGACCATTTGCCTGTTAATGTCATATTTTATTAACCCCTCATTATCTTCCATAGTATATTATTAGCATATAAACCTTAGTCTTACGTAACACTGCATATATTTGGGATAGTGTGCCATTTGCTCATGAACTGAAGGAAGGTTCTGCATTTTTGGAGTACTTGGAAGACTTTTGTGGGACTCCACTTTGTGTGTGTGTGTATATGTATATTTATATGTGTATGTATATGTATATGTATATGTGTGTGTATGTGAAAGAGAAAGAAGGAGCCCAAGATCTTCTATTCACTGGTTCAGTCCTCAAGTAGCCTCAACTGCCGAGGCTGGGCCAGGCCAAAGCCTGGAGCTAAGAACTTGATGCTGGTCTCCTACATTGGTGGCAGGGGCCCAAATATCTGAGTCATCTTCTGCTGCTTTTCTCAGGCCATTAGCAAGGAGTTGGATCGGAAGTGCAGCAGGCGGGATTCGAACCGGTGGCCATATGGGATGGCGGTGTTACAGGTGGCAGCTTTACCTGCTACACCACAGTGCCAGCCCATCAGACTGCACTTTGAAAGCCACCAGCCTAAGCTGTGTCTCAACAGGGCAAACAAAGTCTGACCATAAAGTTGATTATCATCCCCTAGAATCACTGGTGAGACTAAGAGACCTTTTATCCTTTTTTTTCAGGGCCTTCCTCTTGACTTGCTGGTTTCTCTCATCTTGATTACTTCTCTAGTTTCTGATCCACAGTCATTTAATTTCTGCTTTAGGTTTTGTGTGACTGCCTAATCCTTTTCTAAAACATTAACCTGAAAGCTTTTTATCTGACTTTCCCTGTCTCCCAGATGACTGCTGTCCACAGTGCCTGCGCAGGTCTGCACTTTGCTGGATTCTTTGTTACTATTCTTTATTTTCTCCTCAATGCACCACATATAGAGTTTAGAACAATGAGACTTGTTGTATATTTAGTTTTCACATTGCGCATTAAGCTTTAACTGATGCTTATTTTATGTATACCACGGTGCTGCAGTCTAGGCTAATGCTCTAATTTGTTTCTCAGTGTTAGTAACAAGTAAGTTCTTTGTTATTTGCGTTTTTCACTCACTTCCATAGTCAGTCTCTGTGCATCAGCTGGAATTTGGGAATGGTTGTAGAAAATTGATCATGGGATACACAGCATTCTCCGTCTCACCCAGCCCTTCCCATCTCCTGCACTTGATGCAGGGCAACTAAATAGCACCCCCGACGGCAGCCAGCATTTTCTGAGCAGTCTGAGTCAGTGTGCACGTTTCATTTCCAGCGACGAAGTAATCTGACGACTTCGTTTACCAGCAGTGACCACTTAAACAGACTTTTCAAGAACTCAGCCAAAGGCTTTCCTGTTTTTTAAAGAAACTGTCCTTGTGTGCTATCCACTAACTGTAACTACAGAGTTTCCTAGAGCAAGTATCTTCTCTCCGATTATCTGGATGAAAAATGGTGGCTTTTATGACGCACACGCACACACACAGACAGCACCTGCAGCGCTTCCACCCACTGCTCTGTGGTAGTGTAAGCAGTCATGTTTTGGCAGAATTTCCCTGGGTGGACTCCTCTGGCTTCTGTGGCTCTGGGGAGCCTCCCTTTGTTTAGTAGAACATCTGATCGTGTCAAAATGAGGTGCAGAGTTCTAAAGTTCCTCCTCATTGCCATCAGGTAAGTCTAAGCCCTGAACAGAATGCACAGGCCGTGCTTTCTAAGTAACAGCATCTCTTGTCCCATCTCCTCTCCCTTCAGCTCCTCCCCTCTCCGTCCTCTGCTCTGTGCTCAACCTGCACTGCCTGACATGCCGTGTGCTTCCTGATTTCTGGAACTTTGCAATCATTTTGAGCAATATAGAATACTTCTGTATCTTTTGGGGGCACAGAGCAATATTTCAACACAGGCATACAGCTTAGACTGATGAAATCGGGACGTGAGCATCCTTCCCTACCAACCCTTCCTTCGTGTTTCAGTTCTACCAGCTCCTGGGCCTTTGAGCAAATTCTTCTCGGACTCAAACCCTCATTGTGATTTTTTTCTTCATTCTCTGTCATGCTAGCTGTTTATTACCTTTTCTTCAAGTTTCAGTGTGGGCATGATAGCCTTGAGGAAGCATTTACTGGCAGTGCAATTCCCTAAACTTCCCCCATCAACCCCCTCACGCCACAGAGCTGTGACTCCCTCTTACCCAGTCTGTTTCTCTGCTCTCCTTGGCTGTGAAGACCATGAATTTAGTGACTGTGCCTTTTTCGTTATCAACTTTCCAGTGTCTGGAACAATGCTAGGCACACAGTAGGCATTGAGCAGGCATGTTTAATTAAGAAAAGATTTAGGGGCCCGCGCTGTAGCACAGTGGGTTAACACCCTAGCCTGAAGCACTGGCATCCCATATTGTTGCTCCTCTGCAAGGAGACAGTAGTTGTCCCAGAAAGTGCAGTTGAGTCCCCTTTTATAGTCCTCTTCCACCAATCCGTGCTCCGCTGCCTGCGTGCTGAGCACGCCACTTTCTTCCAATCAGAGGTTGGGTCAGCTCCTGCAACTCATTAGTCAAATTGATGAAGCAGCCGAAGCAGCTGTGTAGAACTTGTTTACTCCCTCTCAGCGCCATGTTGTGGGAGCCGGGCCCTGCTTCCCACACATATGGGCACTGGTTCAAGTCCCGGCTGCTCCACTTCTGATCCAGCTCTCTGCTACGGCCAGGGAAAGCAGTGGAAGATAGCCTAAGTCCTTGGGCCCCTGCACCCATGTGGGAGACTCGGAAGAAGCTCCTGGCTCCTGGCTTTGGATTGGTGCAGTTGCGGCCATCTGGGGAGTGAACCATCAGATAGAAGACCTCTCTCTCTCTCTCTCTCTCTCTCTCTGTATAACTCTGACTTTCAAATTAATAAATCTTTTTTTTTTTAAAAAAGATTTAATGTAGAGGTACTACAAAATATACACACATTTGTGTGCATTTCCCTTCATTTTTATAAACAACTATCAGGAATGGATTAATAATTTGTCATCAAAGAAAATTCAATTAAAACTGTTTTAATGATATAGTAAAATGTCTTGTTCTGCCCTAGAACTGAGGTAATCTGTGAAAGCAATTACCTTGTATAAAATGTTTTGCAGTTTTTAAAGGGAGACATCAAAATTGTACAAACCTGTGACTGTTTTCTCCATCAGTTACTATGGGATGGTTTCTCTCAAGAAAACCTAAGATGGATGACTAAGTCTATGGCAATAAAATACATGGAGCAAATTGACTTGGAGAGAATAGCAGTAAATACAGAACATCAGTGTGGTCAGAAATGATGGATGTCAAAGACTAGCAGAAGAAAAACAGAAAATAATTATCTGATAGAGGAACAAACACATATATCTATAGTATAAGTTTTTAAAACATTTATAGCCCCTTCAATGAAGAATAATAGTTTGTGTAAAGGAAATACTTTTCCATCCAGCTTATCAAACTCTGTATGAGTGACTGAAATCACTGAGGTTGGAATGGAAACACTCGTGTCACAGATGAAACCGAACCTTATCCCTAATTGTGCTTCCTCATTTCCTCGATTCCTCCCACTGTTCTCTTCCTGATTGAAGACGACTGCAAGGAGACTTATTGGGGTTGGGGTGAGGAGGTGACCTTAGGAGTCAGATTTTCCCCTGGTTTGCAAATCAGTTTGGTTTCATTCAACAAAAGGAAAAAAATGCATTCTTTTCAGATACCTCCAAGGAAATTCTTTGTATTTGTGAGAATAAATTATTCCAAGTAAGAATTTCAAAAAGCAAGGCTTATCAAAATATTTTGAAAAATCTTTAACTTTAATTATAACAGTCTATAAAATAGATACATTGTGATTATAATTAAAAGCTTTTCTGTCATGAAAGTATGCTGTTATGGTCAACCTTTGACACCTTTGAAACATTTAGGGTGTGTTTTAGATTCACCTTCACTTAAGAGTACTGGAAAAATTTTGAGGAAAAAATTTTGAGGGAAATTGAACATCCATTAGAGTGAGAGAATTATAAGTATTTAGAGCAGAAAGCTGGAGTGACAGTTTCAGCAGTGGTGCAGATTTTGCCTGGGTACCTGCGTGCAGTGTTTTCTCAGACAGAAGTACAGAGTGTTTTTGAAAACTGCTTAACAGGCCTGGTATAGGGAGGTAAGATGCTGTCTGCAGCTCTGGCACCCCCTTTTGGCACCAGTTTGAGTCCTGGCTGCTCCACTTCTGATCCAGCTCCCTGCTAATGTGCCTGGGAATGCAGCAGGGGAGGATTGCCCAAGTGCTTTGGTCCCTGCACCTAAAAGGGGAACAGAAAGAAGCTCCTGGCTTCTGCTTGCCCCCACCTAAGTTCATTCATTGTGGCCATTTTGGGAGTGAAGCAGCAGATAGAAGAGCATTTCTCTCTCTCTTTCTCTCTCTCTCTCTCTCTCTCTCTTCCTGTAACTTTGCCTTTCAAATCAATCACTTTTTTTTTCTAAAGCTGCATAACTTTGGTGATCTGCAGCTAAGAGCATCTTTCTATTCTTGTGAGTTATGGAATTTGGAAGTTATTTATTTTGGATTGAGCCCTTCTTCTTGCTATGAGTGACATACATCTAATGAATGTGGCTCTCTGAGGATGTATCTTTGTAGAATACTTTTGTGTTTTTCTTCCCTCCTTTAACTGTTAGGTTTTTTGGATAGCATTCATGATCTTTCCTTTCTCTTTCCCATTAGAATTCATGAACCCTTTGTAGTGTTTCCATGGCAGCCACTATAGAACTGTGTATACTTTCTACATGGTATTTTTTAATAATTAATGTTATTTGATGTTTTATATACAAGTCTCAGGCACTCTTCCCATAGATAATCATTGTTAATGATTTCTTATGTTTCCACAAAACAGAAATTTTTCATATTGCTCATGCACATGTAGTTAAATAAAAGGACACAGAAAAGATCATATTTGGGGGAATCTTTTTCATCTTGTTTTTTATTAACTACATGTTGGATATCTTTCCATTAAACATATAGATCTGCTTTATTTTCAGAGATAGTGTTCTAAAACAAAGTTTTACAAAACTATATTTAAAGCAGTACTGGTACACACAGACATTTCTTTTCTCCTCATCCTGCACTTCCTCCTCCTCCTCTTCCTCTTTTTTTTTTTTTTTTTTTTTAAATTTTAGCTCCCACATATAAGGAAGTACAGTACGTGGGGTATTTGTCTTTCTGGGTCTGGCTTATTTCCCTCAACATTACAAAACCAATGGCTGAGAATGTTGTATTACTGTAGTTTTTTTTTTTTTTTTTTGACAGGCAGAATGGACAGTGAGAGAGAGAGAGAGACAGAGACAGAGAGAGTATTATTATAGTTTTAATGATCTGTGATTAGTTTAAAATATATTGCATATGGATGAAATGGTCATTTTCCCATTCAATTACTATTTATAGATATTATCTATATTCACACTAAACTAGGGTCTGTTTGCTTTTTACTTGTTAAGTTTTTTATTTGGTGACGTGTTAATCATTTTTACTGTAATATAAATTTCAAGTATGTTATCTCAAAAACTAAAAAAAGAAGAAAGGAGGGTGGACTGAGAGAGAGGGAGGGAAGGAGGAAGAGAAAATTATGTTCTTAGAATTATTTCTACAAAGCACAGTGAATTTGTTAAAAACTAAAGATTAAAATTTAAAAATTTTTAAAAAATGAAATCAAATTGCAGAAAAAAGAAATAGTATTTTCATTGTATGGATGCATCATAATTGATAATTAGCCAGGCTTCTAATTATGAGCATTTTGATCATTAGCTACTTTCTGTTTTTTCAAACAGTATAATGAAGACTCCCTGGTGAACTTCTGCATGCATGCATAAGCTGCATCCCAAAGAGTAGGATTTTTAGGGTCTGAGGTCATTGGTTTATTTAATGTCAGTAGACTAACTACAAAAAAGTTTCATCAACAGCATCACACTGTATAGAAAAATTGGTTTGCTTTTTCTCTCTCCCTACCTAGAAAGTGAGAAAAATTTATTGTAAAACTGTGCATTTTATGTCCCGATCCCTGCTGCAACCTAGCAGTGTGCTCAATAAATATTTTCAGAAGGGAGAAATGAAGAATGAAAAGTTCCGCTTACATTTTAGCCCGTGTTAACACCATCAGAGTTATGTCGGAGGCAATATTAAAGTCACACGTTAATACGCCACTCTGACAGATCTGATAATTCATGGAAAGGTGCGTATGTGGTTATGAATTCATGAGGCAATTACACGGACTCTCCTCGTTAATCTTGTTCAGAGGCCCTGGGACAGGAGGAGGGATATTTCAAGAATCAATCTACCTTTGCTCTTTTCAGCGGAGTCCTTCCACTAGGGTCAGCAGATGTTCTGCCTGGTGATCTGAGTGTGCAGGAGATGTCAGGAAGGAAGAGGTAAATAATCTACCCTTTGACCCAAACAGGAAGTGTGTATCCCTGCCAGGTCAAATGCTGAAACACTGATTTCAGGCTGTCTGTTTCATGTGGGTCACATCATCCATGTGAGAAGTGATTAAGGCTCCTAAGGACCTAATGGAGTGTCCCTTCACTCCCCTGCCTGCCTCTTGTGACCTTCCATCATCAGGCTCCCAACGTGTGTCCTGCTACTGCCAGCTAGTCTCTTACTCCTGACAGCTGGAGACCTATTTCAGCCTGCTTTCACCAGCCTGCTTTTGGAATTATTTTATCCTGCTCCATTGTTACAAGGGTTCTCATCTGCTTGAGTCTTGTGGTTGAAACAGACTTTGCCATAGCTTTTTTTTTTTTTTTTTAAGCCAGCATCTGATTTATTATGACACAACTCATTGATGCCAATCATTCTTTCAGATTGGTGCCATGGTGATTTTTAATCTATATCTTATTTTTTTTGTGAATGAACTATAAATATGCTGCCCTTTTGTATTCCAGCCTAGATACTCAGATCAGTTTTTTTTTTTTTTTAAAGACCTCCATTACTTTCCAAGTCACATTTATTTGAAATATTGGCTGCATCTCACAATATTCACTTCCCTGGAGGGAAACAAAGTGAATCTCAGAGGCATTTACTTTATTCCAACAGGCTTCACTGGTCTGATGTGTATTTGGCTGATCAGCCATGACTGGCTCAGTACAAGTATAATGAATGCCTTAGATTACCCAGTGACTTTGAACTTTAATTTTTATTAGTGTGGTTCACTCAAAGAGTACCTCAGTGCTACCATAATCTCTAGGATGCTTTGTCTCTGCAGACTGATGGTATTTAAGAACTCCAGGTTGAAAAAGCATGAAGATGAGATGATTCTCCTGAGAGGTTTGTCTCTTCAGGTTAGTGTTAATGGAAGGAGCTGTATTTACCCACTAGATCCCAGGACCATAAAAAGTAAATCCACAGCAGAATTCTAAGAGATTGTTCTATTTTTTTCACAGATAAAAGCATTTAACAAAAGTACTTAGGCATTACCATTGTCTGAGGTGTGTTTTTACTGAGCAATAAAAGTGAAATGCTGTATAGAAGAAAAGAAATTATTTCTACTTGTCAACTTTCATCTGTTGGTTAACTCCCCAAATGCCTGAACAATGTCCAGGATTGGGCTAGGTGGAAGTCAGAAGCCAGGAGCAGCATCCCTGTAAGAGATTGTTCTTGTTGAGAGCCTGTGCAGCATCTAAAACTGACACCACAAGCAATGAAAGCATTTTATTGGTCCTCTTGGGCTTTACTATAGGAAATCACTAAGCTCTGTTTTGCACCAAAACAGCAACAGATTTTGTTGGTGGCCTTGAATCAATCTGTTAAATATATTTGAAGGAATGTGGCTATTAGTGAAGTTGGATAGAAATTTTTCAGGTGGTGCCAAGAAATAAGCTTCTACAAATAAACAATCAATCAAACAAACACAGTTGTGAGTATTTATATAGGTCTTGCAAGTTTGCAAAATACTTTCCCATATATCATATGTTCAATAGAACCCTAGAAAGACCATTGATAGGTGCGATTTTTAGTTATTCTCTTTTAGACACTAGGTATTTAAAATTCAGAGATCTGGAGTGATATGAGATTGAAATGTTTTCAAGTGGTTTTGACATCTCTTGCATATTATACTCTGTAGCTTCAGAAATGACCAGAAAACCCATCATTGCCTCAATTCACATCCAGCAAGTCCACAGAAGTAGGCTGAGCTTCTGGAGTGCAAAATAAACTATTTGTAAGTTATCCTGATTATTGGAATAATATAGACTATCTGTATGGAAATTAAATCACTTAAAGTCACCAAAGGATTTATTTACTGGGATTATATGGAGAAAATCTGACTGCAGTATGGTTAACCATCTATCCCTTCATCGATTCCTTTAAAACTAGTGAGTGTTTTCTATGTACCAGGCATTCTACTGCAGTAGATGAATGATACAGCCCCTGCTATTAAGAACAAGAAGAAAGATGAGATAATATTTACTGATGTTTGATGTATCAGGCAATGTTCTGACAGTTGGAGATATTATAACACACTCCCCATTGCCCTTTGTGATATAGGTTCTCTTACTTGCCCTGTTTTCTGAATAAGGTAGTTGATGCTCACATTGAAGGTAAGCTGATAACTGGCAGACCTGAATTCCACTCACAGTCTGGTGTGATCCCAAAGCTCATATTTTTTAACCTCTCTAACTCTTCCTTCCTTTGCCAAGTCAGACCTTGGCTCATGGTCTGAGGTAGGCAGTCACAGAAACAGGTAACTTAGCAATAAACAGCATTAAAATGAGTCAGTGAAGTGTTGTAGAGACACAAAGTGGCAGAATTAGAGAGGACTTGACTTAGGCTAGAGATGGAACTGAAATTGAACTTTAATATATCCACAGTTTATTTTTTCCCTAGGCAAAGTAACAAAGTCATTCTAGAAAGAAAGGGAAATATGGGTAACAGTATGAAGTCACATCTACAGGATCCTACTTTGGGCTTCATGGACAGTACTCACTCATTGGACACCTGGAGTTTACTGAGCCTCACAGTGTTCATGACAAAGTGTCAGTAGCTTGGAGCACTGACTATAGAACACACATGAGCCTACCTTTACGTTAAGCTCAAAAGTGTTCCTCAAACTTTGACAACAATCAGATCTCAGAGTGCAGCACCACCAGTGAACTAGTTGTTTTAGTAACACACAGGAGTATACTGAGTTCATGAATTTGAATGCATTGGTCTTAGTTTTATCAGCTTTGCACAGCATGGTGATTGCTACTTAAATATGTAAAAATAGGAAGTCCTCATCTAATTCACACAGGAGATAGCTTAGGTTGAGAAGCAGGGAGTATATAATTACTCAGGAGCAGTAGGAATGAAAGCTGTTAGCTGTCAACAATGTGTTAATCTAGATGAGAAGTAGAGTTACAGGTAAGGGATGGGGAGCCTTTACATTTCTCTACAGACTTGAAGACTTTGAGGTCTCTTAATTGAAGGTAGGGTGTTACTGTCACTCATCAATATTGGAATCATATCATTAAGAATCTGAGAAAATCCTAACAATGTCCTTGGAGTATTCTCTATTCTTAAGGAGCCCTAGGAATGTCCTAGAATGTGCAGGAAAAAGAAGAAGAAAGCATTGGATGTAATTATCCCAAAAGTGCTGTGGTACAGTTAAGTGCAAATCTTATTTCCAAACTGGGATTTACTTGACCAGTAAGTTCTGCTCAAGAAGCAAGCAGGAAAGCAAGGAGTACCTGGATTCTGATTCCAATTCTGCCTTCCTGTTAAAGAGAATCCTGGGAGGCAGGTGATAGCTCATGTATTTGGGTCCCTGTCACACATGATGGGACTCATATTGAGTTCCAAGTTCTTGTCTTTAGCCTGGTCCAGCCCCAGCTTTTGCAGGTGTCTGGGGAGTGAACCAGAAGTTCAGAGAGCTCTCTCGCTCGCTCGCTTGCTCCCTCTCTCTCTCTCTCTTTTTTCTCTTTTTCTCTCTGTCTCCCTGTTTCCCTGCCTTTGAAATGAATAAAGTAAGTTAAACAGTTTTTAAAAAGAACAATTCCTGTGCTATAGACATCTATTGTGTCTCTCTGACCACTAAAATTATAAGATGATGGCAGGAATTCTTAGAGGAAGCTCATGAATATTAAAAAACTTGGACCTTTAAGTGAAAGAAAGGAGATTAGATGCACAGAATTTCTTTTTCTTTCTTTTTTAAAGATTTATTTATTTATTTGAAAGTCAGAGTTACACAGAGGTGAAGCAGAGAGAGAGAGAGAGAGAGGTCTTCCATCAGATGGTTTACTCCCCAGATGGCCACAACGACTGGAGCTGCTCCGATCCAAAGCCAGGAACCAAGAGCTTCTTCTGGGTCTCCCACGTGGGTGCAGGGGCCCAAGGACTCGGGCCGTCTTCTACTGCTTTCCCAGGCCATAGCAGAGAGATGGATCGAAAGAGGAGCAGCCAGGACTAGAACCGGTGCCCATATAGGATGCCAGCTGAGCCACAGTGCCAGCCCCATGCACAGAATTTCTTCCCCCTCTCCTACTTCTCTGTTTAACACCCCAAATATGACAGAAGAGGAATAAGATGTCATAAAACTACAAGGACAAGGAGAATGAGCCAGAAAAATGACACCAGATGAAAAATATCAACAATATTTTAAAAACTAGAAAGTACACATACAAGGACTAACTGAGGTATGAGAATGCCTAAGCTGGGTGGAGGTGAAAGGCAACACATTGAAGCTGAGCCTGTGACCAGCCCACAGGGTGAGCAGGTTGCTAGGTGTTTCGGAAGGGCCTGGGACTAGAAACAGAGGCATATTCTGAAAGCCCGCATAAGGAGCAATTAGGCTATGCAGGAAATCACCTGCTATGTGCACCCAAGTAACTTACCTGGCAGCATCAGGAGGATTTTTATACCAGATAATTGAAACATGGAGTTTTGGATTCATGAACAACAAGCTGAACATAGGGCAATGTGGATATAATATGTTGAAAATAGGAATGTTAAGTTAAAACCTACACATTCACTCACAAACCCTCTACTTCTGTCCTCTGCCTGTATCCCAGAACTTGAAAGAACTTAACAAGAAATTAGAGGAGTAATCTTCAGAAAAACTATTTTGTCCAATGAGGGTTAGAGGACCCTAAATACTAACACTTGGCATTCCTTCAAAAACACCAGGTCTCCATTTGATGATGCAACTGTGGAGCCCATCAGGAAAGCATGTTATAATGCTATTTGCCTGTTTCTTCCTAAACAACAAAAATTTAAAAATTGCATTATGTATTGCATGAAGTCATTAATATAAGAACACTTTAGTAATCTATTCTGAAACATTAGAATCACTGGGAAATTGTGCAGAAGTATCTTCCTCTTAAGAGTTCTCAAAGACTATTGAAACATAATATACTTATTTGCTACATTTATATGGCTGTTCTTTTGTTTTTGTTATTTGGTCCCAGTGTATCAGTTATGAATAGCCATACCAATGTTTTGTAAGAAATGAACCCAAATCTCCATGAGTTGAAATAATAGGTCTCTTTTTAGTTTAAGAGTACAGGATGGCTGTGTGGTTGTTCTGGGTTGACTCACCCACTCTGTTCATTAGTCTATGGTCAGCTGTAGGTACACCTGGTAGCTCTACTGATCTTGCCTGTGCTATCTCTATTGAGTCTGTGTGCTTGGGGAGTCAGCAAGGTGTTGGCTGATCTGAGACTGTTTAGCCTGCCTTAGTTGTGAACAATTCAGCTGTGCCTCATGTATCTCAGTCTCAAGCAGTGTAATATGGGGGTGTTCATAGCAATGGCAATAAGAGTGGAAGCAAGCTTTAGGGCTTAATTGACTTTTACCTTATGTTTGCTAATGTCCCAGGGGCCAAAGCAGGGTGCCTTGCTGAATCTAGAATGATCATAGGTGAAGATTTGGGACCATCAATGCTATTATTCCCGTAAGTTCACCTTATTCTAAACTCCATTGTGTCTAGACCCACCCCACAATTTAGGGGGTGTAGATATTTTGGATTTTCCTTCCCTAACAGTTCACACTTGACTTAATGGACTCCAAGCTGTATACTTCTTCATCAGTTGACTTAAGGGAAACCAGAATTTATTTACCTTAGGGAATCACTGACACAGAAGAAATCCCTTAGATGTTTTAGATCTTAAAGGGAATCAGTTGTACAAGAGACTGCCTGTTCTTTCAAGCACGATTATAAAGGGTTTCATCAACTTGGGGCTGAATTTATAAATCTCATTCAGAGCTGAAGAGATAGGTTCACTCTGCAGCTTCTTCTGATCCATTCAAAGTGCCGACTCTTGGATCACGTACAGGACGATGTTCTGGTGGAGCAGAAACCAAGATGACTTGGTTTCAAGGCCCAAAGTGGTGACCTTGATAAATCCCCTGACTTCTGCTTCCCTTTCTGCAAAAGCTGTGATGATCCTTTTTTAAGAAAACCTGTCTCATAGATTTAATGATTGAATGCACATGTGAGTGATTATATTGATCTAAATGTATAAAAGTCTAGACCAGTGAAAACATTTTTACAGTATCATTACGGCAAAAGTTGCTCTCGTGACAGCATTAGCAATAAGAACAATAGATTTTATTTGCTGAGTGTGTATTCTGTCCCTAGCACTATGTTAAACACTTGAATTCCATAATTTTATTTAATCTTCTTGGCAGTGCTGTGGCAGTTAATATTTTCTTTTTTTTTTTTTATAGAAAATCTGAGATTTAGAAAGGTCAACTGACTTACCTAATTTCATATGGTAATAAGAGGAATATAATGCAATGAAGTTGGTGGCTAAATTGAATTCCTAGAGTCTTTCTTAATATTCCTCCTTGTGCTGTATGCAGTGTCAACTGTAGCCATCAGCACTTCTCAGAGTATTCACCCCATGTTTCATTCTCATAACACATTGCATTAAGTAGAAGGCAGATTACTATTACTGGTCATTGTTAAGTACTTGCTGTGTACAACATACTGAGGAAAGTGATGTTAAGAAAAAGACAGCGGGGGCTGGCACTGTGGCATAGCAGGTAAGTCTGCCACCTACCAGTGCAGCATTCCATATGGGTGCCGGTTCAAGTCCTAGTTGCTCCACTGCCAATCCAGCTCTCTGCTGTGGCCTGGGAAAGCAGTGGAGAATGTCCCAAGTCCTTGGGCCCTGTACCCACATGGGAGACCCGGAAAAGGCTACTGGCTTCTGATAGACACAGTTCTGACCATTGCAACCATTTGGGGAGTGATCCAGTGGATGGAAGACCTTTCTCTCTGCCTCTGCCACTCTGTAACTCGGCTTTTCAAATAAATAAATAAATCTTAAAAAAAAGACAGTGAAATAAGACTTCATTTTTGGGCCAAATCCAAAGCAAGTAAATAATTTATAGCAGGAATGGGTAAAGGCAGGGTACAGGTGGGGTTGAGAGGGGCACGCAGTACTTCATGTGTCAAAATGACCTTTTTTTGTTCAACAATCATTGTAAGGCTGCTTTGAGGAAGGTGAAGCAGGGAGAGAAATGAGTAAGACAACCTTTGCCCTAAAGGAGTTCAGGCTATGATAAGACCCCCTCCCTCGCCCTGCCCCAAGTGATGTAGCATGGCAAAGGGTGCTAATAAAACTGACTTTGGTTTGAAGGCAGAGGTGTGGAGCAGAGACCAAGTCCAAGGAATGTTCTTTGGAAGAGGTGACAATTGAGTTGAGTCATGAGGAATGAAGAGGGGCTCCTTAGAAAACAGGACAATGAATAAACAGAAATGCTAGGAAAGGCTATTTTAGGCTGTTGGATTTGTGCAAGGTAGTGAGAGATGAGCAGGCCATGGCAAGTGCAGGACAGAGTAGAGGGTAAAGGCATGCTGAGAAAAGGATATCAAGAGGCAAGCAGGAGCAAGATCATGAAGGGCCTTGCCAAGAAGATGGAGATGTAGCTGAGGAAATGGGAGCTGTCAATTTTAAGAACCTAAAAATCTATCATCAAACAAACAAAAAAAATGGTGAATGCTACAGGCTCCTTGTTGGGTAGCATTTGTACCATTTTTTTTCATCGAGTAAGAGAAGTACAGAGAGGTGATGCCACATATCCAGTGTTATCTGTCTACTGAAAGAACTTTCCAGTGAGACTGCATAGCCTCCACGAAATGACGGAATCCAGGTAGATAGGATGTCTTGTGTGCTGGCCCTTGCAAAGGCAGGTTTGCCATAGAATCTACTTCTGAGCCTTTTTAAAAAGAGAGAGAGAGAAAGTCTTCCATCTGCTGGTTCACTCCCCAGATAACTGCAATAGCCAGAGCTAAGCTGATCCAAAGCCAGGAGCTTCTTCCAGGTCTCCCACATGGTGCCAGAGCCCAAGGGCTTGAGCCATCTTAATGCTGCTTTCCCAGGCCATAGCAGAGAGCTGTATTAAAAGTAGAGTAGCTGGGACTCGAACTGGAGCCCATATAGAATGCCAACACTGCAGGCAGGGACTTTAATCCACTGAGACACAGCGCCCACCACTTCTGAGCAGTTTTGATTCTTCTTCCCTGTTGCCAATGCTGGAGGAAGTGGGGCACATGGGAGCAAACACAAGGCACAGCTGTTGACATCGCTCTCTGGTGCCTCAAACAGCTGTTTGGGCAGTATGCAAAGCATGAAGTTATGTGCAAGCCCTCACTCCAGTCCATAGTTTTGTACAAAGTCTGCTAGTCCTGGACTGGAACTTGTTCTGCAAGATTGAGGTACCTTGGAAGCCAAGAAGGCATCTGCATTCACACGCTGTGAATTAGTAAGCCAGCTGCCCCTGTGAGTTCTCTCGAATGTGGTCTCTTGCTTCTAGCAGCCTAAAAGTACTGCAGAAACCTTTTGGCCTGTGGTCTCAAGCCTGATGAATGGTCTGAGGCCATCACTGCTGTGGTTTGGTTGTATCCAGGGCTTGGTTTTTTAAGATTCTGGATGTTCCTTACCTTTTTCCAATTAAGGAATTTGCCAGATTTCACTGGTGGAAACTTGGTACGCCAGTTTCTATGATTCTTCTAGATGAAAAAGAGACTGTACCATCAGACTTCCACGAGAGAAAGTGCTTGTCTGAATGTGGTGAATCCGCGTTCACACATAAGCTTCCTCCTTCCCTTCAGAGCCTGCCCTGCTTACTCTGATACACACATCCTGCCCACCTGCATCCCCTCCCCCACATAGATGTCCCTCTCAGGCTCACAGAACTACATGGGAAGCCAATGAGAGCTGAGAAATGCAAAATGAGTTTCCAGAGAGGAGAGAAGGCTGTGTGGATGGGTGTGAGTCTTGAGAGTGATGAACAATAGTAATAATTGTATGTGTAATTGCATATTTTACTTTATTCATATAACACATGTAAACATGTCCCAACGTTCCTTCATTGTCTTAGTAAGTATTACATGCTATTGCATTGGACTGATGGATCACATTCAGTCTACTAATGGTCAAAAGTTGGAACATTGTCAGATATTTATGGGTTTAGCTACAGCTGTGATGGACATTTTCTTTACATTATTTTCTACAGAATGATTCCTCCAGGATAACTGTTCTAGGGTGGCATTATTGAAGAAAAAGATAGGAAACATGTTATAGCTCCTAATAATTATTATTTTTATGTTGCTTCCTAAACTAGGCAGTACAAACTTTTTATGTCACCAGAAGTGTGAACATGCAAATCTTACCAGAATTGTCCCAATAGTGTGATATGATTTTCAGGTTATTTTGTAAATTTGTTCTTCTAATCTCTCAGATGTATAATGTTATAACAAAGTTGTCTTAATTTTAAATTCCATAATTAGAGGGAACATGTATTTATTATTTGCATTTTCTCTTAGGTACACTGTTTGCATCCTTTATATTACTTGGTGTCTGTGGGTTTCTTACACTAGACATTTGTGGGAACAATCATTTGTTTCTTGAAAAGTTTTCCCCTCAGCTCTTAGCAGGAGGTAATGTCACTCCTCAATGCCAGCTTTTTAGAGTAAGCAGCCCTCCCCTCATCTTTGTGTATGAAGTCAAGGTAGACTAGTAAGAACAAGGACTCTACAGCCTGGCTGCCTGGAATTGCATTTTGGTTCTAGCAGTTGCCACGTGGCTTTGGGTGAAATGGGAACAATAATATTATCTATTTTATAAAATTTTTGTGAATATTGAAAGAATTAATAATTATAAAATGCTGAGAAGTATGCCTAGCAAAAAGCAAGAACTTTATAAACAAGGTTATTATCATATTAAGACTATGAGTATCAAAGAAAAATAAGGTGGGTTTTTGATGGATAGAGAGAAGGTGGTAAGCTTAGACAGTCTTCCCAATGTTTTTAGGTCCCAGTCCTGCTGCTTATGGTTTTTCTTGGTGTTTCAATCAATATTGATAAAAATTGATAGGCTCAGTTATTATACCCAGGGGAAAAAAGTTCTAGAAAGAAACCAGTCATCCTGGAACATTAAGTCAGGGGATAAAAAGTAAATATGAATATTCAATAATAGCATGGCATGGTGGATTGAGTTTGAACTTTGGAGATGAATTGACTTGGGTTCAAATTCTGTTTGCATCATGAACTTGCTGTGGTTCCTTAAGCATGTTGCTTGACCTTTCTGAGCCTCATCCAAGCCTAATAGGATTGCTTAGAGAATTATGTAAGTTGAAATACCTATGTAGTAGACATGGGACTTAATAGACATTCAATAAGTTAAAATAATTAGCATTGAAAAACAGCTACTTTGGAGTTAGTGTGATTTTTGTTACTGTCTGAGGAAACAATAAATAACTTCATGGGTTCAGCTAACAAGTGAGCTTGATCCCATAGGACAGATTTAGAGTTAGGAGGCCTTCACTTGCAGGATGCAGGCATGTGGAGAACATGGAATGAAGACCTGCTTCATGGGATGTGGGTGGTGGTAGGGGAACCTTGGAAAATGAGCTGAGAAGGCCAAGTTGCAGGCCTGTATTGTGGAGCAGTGGGCTAAGCTTCTATTGTGATGCCGGCATCCCACATCAGGGTGCTGGTTCGAGTCATTCTGGCTGCTCCACTTCTGATCCAGTTTCCTGCTAATGGGCCAGGGAAGACAGCAGAGGATGGCTGAAGTACTTGTGCCCCTGCCGGCCATGTGGGAGACCTGGATGGAGTTCCTGGCTCCTGGCTGCAACCTAGCCCAGACATGGCTGTTGTGGCCATTTGGTCAAGTAAGTCTGTGAATGGAAGACATCTCTCTCTCTCTCTCTCTCTCTCTCTGTGTGTGTGTGTGTGTGTGTGAGTGTATCTCCCTTTCTCTCCATGTGTCACTCTGTGTTGCAAAGAAAAAAATAAAAAGGGAAGAAAAAAAGAAGTATTCTTTTAAAGAGGCAAACGTGATCTATGATGGCGGAATCTCAAAGGATTGCCTTCTGAGATGCATTGAGATAGTTCTGATTCCCCTCTCTTTTATGAGGGTCTTTGGAACCAGAGTAAAGAGGCACTTAGCAAGTGCTGAACCATTTGCAGATGGTTAAAAAGAAAGTGCTCTCTGATCCCTGAAGAGGGATCTTTTGCTGGGGTTTGAGGTCAGAATTGTTCGACAGAAATGCTTTGACACATCTTCAGAACGGCTAGATTAGCACGTCGTTTGCTCAGAAGCATCAGCTACTTTGAGCTAGCACTTACTTTGTTAAAAGGAGCTCTGCCTGTCGTGGTCTTTAGGTGCACTACCTCATTTAATCTCTCAATAACTCCAGAAGCAAATGCCACCCGTATTCTCATTTTACCAGGGAAGAAATTGAGACCTAAAGAAGTTACACAGCTAGAAAGCACTGAGATCAGATTAGAACCCAGTACTGCCTGATTCAAAAATCATTACTTTCAGCAGCCTCAAATGCTAGCCTTATACTATCTTTTTGTGCAATATTTGTTCAATTGCTACCTTCTCCTTTTCCCCATCTTTCCTGAGTGCATTGTGCTTCTTTCTTCATTGGCTTTCCCTTTCTCTTTTTGCTGTTCTATTATTCTCACTCTCGCTCATGTTCACAAGCTCTCAACGTTTATGAGACATCTATAATGTACCCAGTCCTCGGCTGCTGAGAAATTCCATTTCTCTGTTTTTATTTCTTTTCTTTTCTTTTCTTTTCTTTTCTTTTCTTTTCTTTTCTTTTCTTTTCTTTTCTTTTCTTTTCTTTTTTTTTTGACAGAGTGGACAGAGAGAGAGAGACAGAGAGAAAGGTCTTCCTTTGCCGTTGGTTCGCCCTCCAATGGCCGCCGCGGCCGGCGCGCTGAGGCCGGCGCACCGCGCTGATCCGATGGCAGGAGCCAGGCACTTATCCTGGTCTCCCATGGGGTGCAAGGCCCAAGTACTTGGGCCATCCTCCGCTGCACTCCCTGGCCACAGCAGAGAGCTGGCCTGGAAGCGGGGCAACCTGGACAGAATCCGGCGCCCCGACTGGGACTAGAACCCGGTGTGCTGGCGCCGCAAGGCGGAGGATTAGCCTAGTGAACCATGGCGCCGGCCTCTCTGTTTTTATTTCACTTTAATGTCTGCTACAGTACTGGAAAAGCACCCAGTAAATACATGGTTTGCTTAGATGTGGTCCAGTGTTCTTAAAGAACGGAGTATGTCCCCAGAGACGGGAAGCACTGTTGCTCGCTTCCCTTCCTTCTCTGCCTCCCACCTCCCCTCCCTCTATCTCTTCCTTCCTCCTAGAGATATAAGGGTACTTCAGTTTGGAAAAATGAAATATAAATATAAGTTAATTTTGTAGCAAAAACATTTGAAATAGTTTTTTCTTAACACTCATATACCATGAACTTTTTAAAGATTCCTTGTGTTTTTCATATGAATGTCTGATGTCAAATTCTATGAAAAGTGCCAGGGATACGATAAGATGTACAGAAAGATAAACACAGTCAACTCTCAGTATCCATGAGTTCTGCATTCATGAATTCAACCAACCACAGATCAAAAATTTTTTAAATTGCATGTGTACTATAATATATACACACTTTTTTCTTGTCATTGTAAGTAATCCCGAGATGACGTAATATATACAGAAAGGTGTGTATAGGTTGTAAACAAATGCTGTGCTGTTTTATCTAAGGGATTTGAACACATTCCAACTTTGGTACCTGTGGGTGGCCCTGGATTCAATCCCCCACGGATAGCAAGGGAGGGCTGTGTAATGGAAACGTGTTTCTGGAGAGACTGTCAGGCTGCAACACACATCTCCTGGAGTCCTTGCTTAACACTTATCTACCACCCACTCAGTAGTTAAGAACAGCGTGCTTTCTGCTGCTGCCCTTCACCAGAACACCGAACAGAAGCACCCTGTGGGCAAGAAAGCAATACCAGGGTGGAAATGAAGGAGAAATGAGGCTGCAGTTAATTCTTACCCAGTGACCACAATTTTTGGAGCAGGGAACAGGTAGGACCCGTTGGTTATGCTTGCACATCAGGATCTGATAAGCAGAGGTGGAATGGATAAGCATGTCACAAACCCTGGGAGCTGGATGAGACAGCTTTGGTCCTGAAGCTCATTACCTGTATGCATCCACCTGCTATAGACTAGATGTTTGTATCCACCCAAACTCATATGTTGATGCCTTAACTCCCAGTGTGGTGGTTTAAGGAGATGGGGCCCTGGGACACCTGGGAGTAATTCAGTTGAGTTGAATTCCTGAGGGCAGAGCCTATAGGATGTGAATAGTGCTGTTACGAAAAAGCGGGAAGGAAATAGGATGTGCATTTACAAATACGTGTATATGTATGTGTGTGTACGTATGCATCCTCAGTCTTTCTGTCTCTAACACACACACACACACACACACACACACACACACACACACACCTCTGCATGTGGTGGCACCCTCTAATCCACAGTTTCACTTTGAAAGGTTTCAGTTTAGGCTGGTGCTGCAGCTCAATAGGCTAATCCTCCACCTGCAGCACCAGCACACCGGGTTCTAGTCCCGGTCGGGGTGCCGGATTCTGTCCCGGTTGCCCCTCTTCCAGGCCAGCTCTCTGCTGTGGCCCGGGAGTACAGTGAAGGATGGCCCAAGTGCTTGGGCCCTGCAACCCATGGGAGACCAGGAGAAGCACCTGGCTCCTGCCTTCGGATCAGCGCGGTGTTCCGGCCACAGCGCACCGGCCATTGTAGGGTGAACCAATGGCAAAGGAAGACCTTTCTCTCTGTCTCTCTCTCTCACTGTCCACTCTGCCTGTCAAAAAAAAGAAAAGTTTCAGTTTATGGTCAGCTTTGATCCAAAAGTAGTAAATTAAAAATTTTTAAAAATAAACAATGTATGAGTTAAAAGCAGAGAAAGAAAAGGCCTGATAACCCTCTCTCCTCCATCAGAGGGAAGGGAGTTGTCTTCCAGCCAGGAGCGGAGCTGTCACCGAGGACTGCATCAGCCAGCACTTTGTGGTGGACTTCCCAGCTTCCAGGGCTGCGAGAGATGGATCCTGCTGTGGGAGGTTCTCAGCCTATGGTGCTGTGTTGCAGCGACCTGTGCAGTGCGGCACCGAGTTTCTCCAGCTACATGACTAAGAGGCTCCTGTGGATGACTACGTGATGATCAGGCAGTACCCTTCTGCCTTCCTCCCTTCTGAATGGGGGATGGAGGGATAACAAGATACCATTCCACAGGCTCACTTGGGGAGAAACAGTGTCCCCCAAAGGAGGTTGCCCTGGAGACTGGGCAGTGGACTCTAAGAAGGTGCTCCCCATCCTGGCTGACCTTAGTAAAAGAACTTCTGTTTTTCTGGGAGAGATCTGAGCAACTGCAGTTAAGCATGGCTCTGTGTTGCTCAGAGTGGATTAATGTCACCACAAACGAAAACCACTTTCAGTAGTCTACAAATCAAAAAGTCACAATGAGGTGTCACCTCACTCCAGTTAGAGTGACTGTAAAAGATAAAAAATATGAATACTGGCAAGGCTTGGGGAAAAGGTGGGAATGTAAATTGGGGCAATCAATGTGGAAAACAGTATGGAAGTTCTTCCAAGAGCAAAAATATGAGCTGGCAACCCTACTGCTGGGTACATATCCAGGAGCAATCAAATCATCCTGTTGAAGAGGCGTCTGCTCTCGATGTGTTTTTCAGCACTGTCCACAGTACCCCAGAAATGGAAGAACCCAAGTGTCCATCCACTGATCAATGGGTAAAGAAAATGTCATACCCATGCTCGGTGGACTATTACTGAGCTGTAAAAAGAATGAAACCTTGTCATCAGCAACAACATGGATGAAACTGGAAGTCATTGTGTTAGGTAAAATAAGGCAAGCACAGAAAAGCAAGTACCAGATAATCTCACTCATAAGGGGAGTTTAAGAAAAAGATGATTTTGTAGAAATTAAAAATATAATGATGGTTAGCAGAGGCTGGGGAGAGAAGAGGAAGGAAAGGCTAAGAAAAGATTGGTTAACTGGTACTAAGTCATGGTTAAGTGTATGATCCTTTGGGATTCTGTTACTCAGTCGAGTGGCTGCTACATATTTCTCCATCAAAAGATGACTAGAGGCCTGCGCCGTGGCTCACTTGGCTAATCCTCCGCCTGCGGCACTGGCACCCCAGTTTCTAGTCCTGGTTCCTCCTCTTCCAGTCCAGCTCTCTGTTGTGGCCCGGGAAAGCAGTGGAGGATGGCTCAAGTGCTTGGGTCCCTGCACCCTCTGGGAGACCTGGAGGAAGTACCTGGCTCCTAGCTTTGGATTGGTGCAGTGCCGGCTGTGGTGGCCATTAGGAGAGTGAACCAATGGAAGGAAGACCTTTCTCTCTGTCTCTCTCTTACTGTCTATAACTCTCTCACTGTCTAACTCTGCCTGTCCAAAAAAAAAAAAAAAGTAGGCTTTTGAATGATTTTACCATAAAGAAAGGCAAAATGTCTTGAGAAGATAGATTTATTTGCCCTGATTAGACATTACACTATGTATGCATATATCCGAAGACACATGATACCCCATCAATACACGTGATTTTTATTTTAATCATGTATTTTAATTAAAAAAGAATGTTGATGCTGTTGATCTTTGATTTCAAAGAGCAGAACAACCTAGATAAAGTCACCTGCTACCAGCTTGTTCATTCAGTGTATCGTGAAAGGAGACCTCAGAAACTCTGAGCTCCTATTTCTGAGATACCACAGGACACAGAATTTGGAATTTGTGGATCAGGGTATTCCTAGTTTCTTCTAGCAGGTGCTCATATATTTATTAAAGGGACAAGTTGAGTATGCCTAATTCTTTAGGAAATATATATTCTACTTTTTCATTCTTTGCCACATTTGTATAATAATGGAACCAGTGAAATGCTTTCATGTAGTCTCTTATGTAAATCAGTTCATGGAAATATAAAAGTACATTATTGCCTTTACCTTCCTTTAAGAGATCTCCTGGGAATATCTGAAATATGGGGCTGACCACAGAGTTAACTATGTTAAGAAGTTTAATCAGCAGAAAATGCAATATTACACACATTCATACATTAATTTTATAGACGGCATGCATATTAGATGTTAAGAATTCCTGGGTGATTTCAACCTGTGAGTCCATTTTCCTCAAGCCCATTATTTATGTTTTGTTCTTACCCAGAGTGGAGATAGGACTTGGGTTTATCCTTTCTCTCATCCATTCGTGAAATATTTACTGTTCACCCATCCAGCGTAGGCACTGTGTTAGACAATGGGAATATAGCAGTGAACATGATAGGAGAGGGTCATGTTCTTCTGGAGCATGCGTTCTAGATCAGCGCTGTCCAGCACAAGTGTCTGTGATGATGGGACGGTTCTAATGTGATTACATTGGGAAATGCTTTGTTGACCAGGATAGCAGCTACTAACCCCATGTAACTGTTCAGTACCTATGACTTAGTGCAGTTGAGGAGTTAAACTGCTAGAATTACTTGATTCTAATACACTGAAGTTTAAGTAGCTGCATGGGACTAAGGGCTATTGTATTGACTAACACAGTTCTAGTGGTAGAGACTGATCTGAAATAAGTTAAACCAAAACTAAAATATATTCAAATTATGGTGGGTACTGTGGAGGAAATAAACAAATGATGTGATGTGTGTGGTGGAGGAGCTGACTTCGAATGGGAGGATTAGGGCAGCTTCTGGAAGAAAAAGAGCCAGGCTTGCAAGTTCAAAGAAGAGGAATGCAGGCAGTGCAAACAGCAAACATCAAGGTACAGCCTGAGATTTGTGAGGAGTGCATTCAGTGTGCCAAGTAACCCATGTCCCTCAGCAGGTGCACTGCAGGGGTGGAGAGTTCTACTTTGTAATGAGAAACTCTCTCTTTCGGGAGGACTGTTTCTACCTGGGAGTAAGCAGCAGGCATAGGAGTGACCCAGAAGGTTCTACTGAGGTTTGTCTCAGTTGAGCTACCATCTCATGTCTACAGCTCTTTAGGGAATGATCATGTCAGTCTGGGCTACAGGAGCTCAGACTGTGTTCTTGTTTATTGACCTAAAGAATAAAACTAATGAAGGTTCTTATACATCTCTCCCAGTTCTTCCATAAACTTTGAAACTCAAGATATTCCAAGGAGGAAGGGATATTGTTTAAGTCTGAGAGGTGATATGGTGTAGTGTTTACATGTTTAACTTCTGTAATTTCATTACATAAATTTACAACTTAGCTTTACTACTTGACTGTGTGACCTTGGACAAAGCTGGCCTTTCTGTCCCTCATTTTCTCATTTGTTAAGAAGGGGAGATGGCAGGACCAGCGCTGTGGCATAGTGGGTAAATCCACTGCTTGCATTGATGGCATCCCATATAGACGCTGGTTCAAGTCCCAGCTGCTCCACTTCCGATTCTGGTCTTCTATGGCCAGTAGACAACGGTCCAAGTCCTTGGCCTCCTGCAACTGTGTAAGACACCTGGATGAAGCTCCTGGCTCCTGGTTTCAGATTAGCCCAGCTCTTACCTTTGCAGCCATTTAGGGAGTGAACCAGCAGATGGAAGACCTCTCTCTCTGTCTCTTTCTCTGCCTTTCAAATAAATAAATAAATCTTTTTTTTTAAAGGAGAAGGTGGTAATGGCATTTACTAGATAGGATTGCTCAATATTAAATAAAATAATGTATGTGAAATATTTAAGTGGTTGACAAATTGTAGCTATTATCTTCTGTGAAAAACATATTAATTGCTATACAGTGTAAAAAAGTCATGGATACTTCTTTTTAAAATTAAACTAAATGCAAGTTAAACCCTCATTCACCAGAATTGGAGAAAAGATTCAGTCTTCGGCAGTTGTATAGAGCTCTTCATCCGTTTGTGTTATGTAACTACCCTCAGGCTGTTGTCCAAAAGATGGCAAGGGCCTGGTCTTCAGCCTGTGCTGATTGGTCACTATAATTTCCACTGTGATTCCTGCTGTGTTGAGAACAAGTCCTTCACCAGCCATCAACCACTACCTTGCACTAGAGTCCTATCAGTTGAACTAAGGGCTCCCAATGGATGTAGTTGCTCACCTGAGCAACAGTTTCTCTATTACACTGTATTACATTCAGTTGGCATCCTTGTCTCTCTGACGATGACCCTGAAACCCCCAGTGTCTACTCCATGATGAGCACCTTCACTATTCTAATCCTCAAAGCCATGCAACTTCCATTCCCTCCCTCTAGGATAGTCCAGCTTTATCCCATTGATGGAACTCAACACATGCTCCAAACAGGCAGCAAAAGATCAAATCCAACACAATTGATTAGGAAGATTGTTTCAGGAAATTGGAACTTGAATGCTTTGTAACAGTTTGGATTCTCTAGTTTGAGACACAGGCCTTACATAGACCTTTTGTTTCATATTCACAATAATTCACTCATGTGTGTCATAGGCCTAAAAATATTTTAGTTTTAAAATTTTGTTCTCAACAAAGTCCTTTGTAGAGGTTTCCTTTTCGGGTGTATTACCACTTCCCCTTACCCTACCATCAAAATGTCTGTTTTTAGGTATCAAAATGTATTGCTTGCCAGAACAAGGAATCCAGAACTCTGAACAGAGGATTTTTTTTAAACATTTATTTATTTGAAAGGCAGAGTTACAGACAGACAGACACACACACACACACATACACACGTACAGAGAGAGAGAGAGAGAGACAGACAGACAGAGACAGAGACAGAGATGCCTTCCATCCACTAGTTCACTCCCCAAATGGCTACAATGACCAGGCTTGGGCAAGGCCAAGGCTAGTAGCTTGGAACTCCATCAGGATTTCCCACATGGTTTGTAGCATCCCAAATGCTTGGACCATCCTCCGCTGCTTTCCTAGGCACATTAGCCGGGAGTTGGATCAGAAATGGAGCAAGCAGGACACAAGCCAGCACGCATATGAGATGCCAGCATTGCGGGTGGTGGCTTCACCTGCTATGCCACAGTGGTAGCTTCAAAAAGTGGTCTTTCTACTTTCTACTGGTTCAAAATTATGGTTACTCATACATCAAACCTATGATTATGAAGTAAATTGAAAGTATGTTATTGTAAAAATTAAAGGAGAAGAAGGAAGGGGGACCAAGGGAAGGAGAGAGGAATGTAAGGTTATGTTATCTTCTTAGATACAATTCTAAATTTGTATATATATTTCTAAATATGAAATATATTTATATATTAGAAATACATAATATATATTAGAAATATATATTAGAATATATATGTGTATATATTCTAAATATGAAATACATGAAATCTATTTATATTAAAGAATTTAAAAAAGAAAAATAAATGTCATCTTGTTTTTGAAAAGTCTGGTCTGACATTTTGAATGAATAGGGCAGAGATGTATGTTATAAAGTAATTTCAGTCTTAAACAATAAAGCACCCTGGCATATAACTTTTTACCGAAGAGAGGTCTGAGGTATACAAAGTTAGTGACTTCCCCAAATTCTTCAACATATACTTATCTCCATGGCAGTAAATCCCCAGTAACTCAGGCTTTACCATTGTAAACACTCATTTCTCGTTTGGCCATTAGAATTCTGAGCATGCCTATCCAGAAAAAAACATTAGTTGTAGTTTTAGGCAACTGATATTTTAATGAGATTATTACAGTTTTATTTTAAAATAAACCCGGGTGTTTCCTTTTTTTCACTTTTGTGATACTTCTCCAGATAGAGATTATTATTGGTCCTCTCCATAACACTTGGCTGCTTGTCTTTAAGACTCAGGTATTTTGCTGTACTTTGGAAATTTATATTCATTAAATAAAAGTTAAAAAAAAAAAGACTCAGGTATTTTGTTTTCTCCTTAGAGAATTCTCAGTGCTGTGGAGTTTGTGTAAGTTTTCCATGTTGAACTCAACTATCCCTACATTCAGATATGTTACTTTGTAAGATGAAAGACAACTAAATTACAAAGTAAAATTTAGGTCTGTGAAAGATCTCTGTGAGATCCCAGTGGAAAGAATGTACCATCAAAGAAGGAGGTACCTTTCTCTGAAGGGAGGAGAGAACTTCCACTTTGATTATGGCCTTGTCTAAATAACCTCAGAGTTTGTGAACTCAAGAGGCTTCCATAGCCTTGGCAGCTCATGATAAGAGCCTGGGGTGATTTCTGACATCATAAATAAGAGTGCCAGTTGTTAAATCAACAATGGGAAACACTGTGCACTTAATCCCCATGTAGGACCTCTGTCCTTAACGTGTTGTATTATGCGAATTAACGGTAAAACTAGTATTCAAACAGTACTTTATACTTTGTCTGTATGGGCAGGTGGGAGGGTGGTTATGGGGGGAAAACCACTATAATCCAAAAGTTGTACTTTTGAAATTTATATTTATTAAATAAGAGTTTTAAAAAATTAAAATATTTATGTCTAACCACCACGGAAGTAAAATTTTTTAATTGCCATGTTGAATAGAATATACGTGTTTGGTGAGAAGGTAAGAATGGTTATGATTAGGAACATGTATTATGTTCACCTTACAGAGAAGATTTTTGACCCTGTCCTTTTTTCTCTGTCTCTGTCCTCATCTCTCTTTGTATTAATAGTATAAATATATCTTGATTGTGCTGTCAGACATGGGTCTGTGTCTCCAGAGCAGTAATTCTCTGGTGACCAGAGGTACTATGTGGACAGGCTGAAAGACAGCATAATATAATGTAACAGATGTGATCCCTGTATGATTAATTTGCCATTCTGACAAAAGAAGGGACCATTTAATTATTCCCCAAAAGCTTTTCCAAGGAGATGGCATTATGCTTGGTCCTTCAACAATGGGTCTTTACCAGATGCAGAAGGAAGGGTTGAGAAAAGAGCATTCCAGGCATAGAGGAACTTGAAGGTTGACCTGAAGATGGGAAAGAGCAGGAGCTTACAACAGTGTAAGTCATCAGGGGGATGCAAATGAAACCAGGGTAAAATAAGATGTCTCCT